CTTCCTTCCTTCCTTCCTTCCTTCCTTCCTTCCTTCCTTCCTTCCTTCCTTCCTTCCATGTATTTAATAGTTTTTTTTTTAAGTCTGCTTTACAACTTTAAAATTTTTACACATGATGTGTGGGCTTGTATTTACAATCTTGCTTTGGGCTCTGCAAATATTAGGGATGGGACTATGTTTATATATAATTATTTTTCTTGAAATATACAAAAGAATATTTAAGTCTGACTTCCTGGCCCTTTAAAAGGACTGGGGAAATGTAAATGCTCTACAATGACTTAAATCTCTTCCCGCATATAACAACTGATCAGCAGTTGTCAGATGTTATGTCAGCAGTTATGTCAGGTCAGAAGCTGACTTCCATGGGGCAGTCAGTGCTCTGACGTGATATGTGTACATTGTTGGGGAGAGTTCAGCAGGTGTCCTGTCTGTTAAGAATGGTAAGTCTCAAAACATTCATCCCAGTCCCAGAGTTTGGAAACCACATATAATTCATTCTTGATAACCATTTAGCCTGCTCAGAGAAATTCTCCTTTTAGAAGGTACACACTGAATACGATTTCTGTAGGTGGAATGAGTGGCGCGACGACCACACCATTCTTCAAACACGCTTTCAGAGTTCTGTGGGTTATAAAGCTCCAGGACTTGGAGCTGGAGGTCGGCCTCAGTCTGAGGCATGGCAAGCTTACTTCTCAGTTGAAAAGAGAACTAGTGGCAACAGCTCACTGGGATCCTATACAGGAGAAGTTATTAAAGCCAGAATTCAGAGCCCGTGTTCATGATGACCAGCTTACCGTTTAGGGTAAGCAAAGACAATGCTTTCTCGGTACATTCATCAGTGTGTTTAGTGTAGAGTGACAGGTGACTCACCGATCTTGAAACGACCCATGTAGTAGATCTGGGTGCTGAGGGCCAGGGTTGCCAGGATATGGATCGCAGAGAAGATGACCCAGAACCACATGTTATGTTCTCCAGACACCTAAGAGTAAAGTTGGAAGTTACCTTCATCTGGGGTGCGCCCCACAGAACTCACGAAAATCATTCTGTCTCTCATGTATGCATCTGGAGTCAAAACCCCAGCTGTGCATACATTGTGGTGTCCCCCCACTTCTGTGAGCTCACCAGAATCTTACTGCATGAAAACGAATGGCCGCCCGGCCAAATGACAGCGGGAGAGGGAAGAAACGGGGAAGGCACCGAACAGCAACAGTGAAGGGGCAACAGGTCTAGAGCTGGGGGCGAATGCTCTTCAAACAACTGCACCCAACCGACACGTGTCCCTGCACATTCCGCGAGTGGCGTCTACTCAGTCTGTCTCTCCAATCAGCTTGTACATCTCTGTGCCGATCTCGCGTGAGTCAGGTCCCAGCTTGACAGAGACACTCTGCAGCGCTCGCTCTACAGGTGCCTCTTCCATTATTAGAGATAACTAGCTCATTAAGTCAATAAAATGCCACAAAATGACCCACAATGGCTGCCTATCAGGAACCGAGGACTGTGATTCATTCAGACCTGTTCCCCTGAGGTCCAGCAGACACAACGGAAAAGCTCCCAAGGGGGCGCGCTTGGAAAGCGGGGCTGAAGACCATGGGGGGGGAGGGACACGAACCACTCCGAGGACAGTGAGCATGATGACCACCGCGAAGGAGGCGTAGGCAGTGTAGGCACTGGCATTGATGTCCGGGTGGCGGCTCTGGTAGAGCTTCAGCATGCAGAGGCCGGCAATCATGTACATGAAGGAGGTGTCTGAGGGCACACGGAAGGAGCCTAAACAGTCAAGATCCAGTAGGTGACAGAGTTTCTCTTGAGCTTGGGAACCCCCTGCCTTCAGGCCCTGGAATATTTGCTGCCCTCAGACTATGTGGAGACCTCCAACATGACAGCCTCCGTGGGCACGTTCTCTAGCCAGACCTTACCCACTCCACTTCTAAACCCTTCCGACGCTGCTTCTAGTTTACCAAAGCCAGGTATCTGATCACATGATAAATAATTGACTGTCCCCACTTGCAGGGAAATTTGTGTTTAAGTGTGTTCAGCAGCTATAACAGGAGTCTATACTGATAATGATTAGGGTGCTGGGGCAATACAAAGAATCCTAGGTGGGTGTCGAAGGTCCTTATCAGCGTCCCAAAATAGAACCACATTGATTGCTGCTCATACATAGCTTTACAGCCGAGGGATGGAAGACCGCTAGAAATTAAATGGGGCATAGCTGCATGAGAGCTGCATGGAAATGCAAATTAAAACAACAAGGCAAAGTCCCATATTACTCAAGAATGTAGCAAAACATTTAAATGTCGGACAATGACACGTTCGTGATGATGTAGGGAAATGGGAACTCTCAGGCAGCTGGTGGGAGTAGAAATTAATACTCTCTGGAAACTGGGAAGTTTTTGGCAAAATGGAAGATGCATAACCCAGGTGATTCCAAAATTCTAGGTCTAGGTGTCCCAGGGAACCTCTCCCATGTGTTCACTGTGGCACTGTGCAATAGCAACACGTCGGCGACATCTGCATGGTGTTCCACAGAGTAACTGATAAATGTAGAGTACATATTTTTATTACAGAAGATGACAGTCCTTAAAAATGAATGAACTGGATGTCCTTGATTCAATATTGATAAATCTTGAAAACCTATTGTTGGATGAAAAAAGTTACAGAACATAGTGTGATAAGTAAATATTAAATTTACTACAGATGTAGTAAAATTATAAAAACAAACTGGACTGATAAATATAAAATTAGTCATAGCTGTTGCCTCTGGGGAAGGAGGGAGGGGAATAAGTTTGGAAAGTTCAAAGAACCTCAACTTTATCACAGCGTTTTATTTCCTAAAAGGTCGATTTAAGGCAAATATTTTAAAATGTTGGCATTTGTTCTGAGTGGTGACTGATACTGTTCTCTGTAGTTTTTTTCTACTAAAAATGTTTCTAATTAAAAAAAATTAAATGTGACAGAGAATTTCTGTAGTGTTCTGGGTTCACAGACAGAGGCTGGAACACAAACATGAAAACGGCTGTTTTTAAAATTCATATCCTTGAGTGTGGGGGTCACGGTTCATTGCCTACTACTAGCAAAAGCTCTTCCCTTCCTCCTTCCTGACAGCATATCAGTACTAACTCAAATATCTTAGCCCCATTTTCAATTCAGAAATGCATGCCTTTCCAGCCTGTTTGTTTTAGCAAAGCTACTCCAACCCCTGGTTCCATGGATGGGTCTCACTGGTCTAATGATAATGCCCCTCCTTTGCCACCGTGATTGGTGTACCAACCCAGGCTCGAGCTAACCAGCACCGAGGGAAAAATTCTGGAATGGGCTCATGACTATTTAAACTACTGAGGTGTGGAAGAACATTCTCTGAGGGTTTTTGGCAAAGAGGTTTCCTCGCTCTTAAACGAAGTCTCCTGGAAACCAGCTTGCTGCATCCACCAAACATCATGAAGTAGAGACAGGAAGCCAGCACCTGCTGTAGCTATTCTTTCCATCATGAGTTTCCTAAAAGCCTGAGGATAAAATCAGCCTACGGGCCGAGCCCAACCTAAGGGATCGAAGAGAACCGGAGCCAGAGCAGCCTGAGGAATCAATTGCAAGCCTTTCCCACCTTTGGATTTTCAGAAGGTGAGCTGATATTTGTCCTTATTGTTTAATCCAGTTGAACTGGGCTTTCTATTATTTTCAGCCCAAAGCAGTCTAATTGCTAAGTTAGGTCAAATTATACTAAGGGAACTTTCCAGATGTCTGTTGGTGGATTCTATCTGCCCTGCTGCCTAATGATTAGCCCATTGCCCACCTGCAGATCTAACCATAGGATCATCATTCAATGTTGAGCCTTTTCTAGTCTGAAAGGTGGTCAGAGAGAAAAGATGGTACAACATGTGGAAACCATACCCGGTGAGGAGATGCCCTCAAATCACTTTAGCTCACAGAAAATATCATTTAATTCTTGCATGCATTTGGGGAGGGTCCCGGGACAAGACTCCTATAACTCAAATCTGTGTGGTTGATGGAAATTCGAATTACCGAATTGGAAGTTGTAGTAATTAGGGCAGACATGGTAACAAGCACTGAACACTCCTTGCATGATCAATGCGATGCCCATTGCATAGAAAACACCAAAGTGTTTAGGAATCCCATATTCCTGAAAGAGGAGAAAGCGTGGTCAGTGGAAAGACACCAACTGGTGATATAGCCATAGAATCTGCAAACCCAAGCTTCTGGCCTCCTGTTGTTCTTTTCACATAACCCACCACCACACGATCCAGCCAGATGTCCCTCCCCTTTGCAGATACTGTGTGGAACCATTACCCTTCCTAGCTCCCACGTCTGATTTACCCACCCTCTCCTCACCATGGCAAAGCTGTCCTTGGCTTCCAGGGCTCTGTGATGGAGAATGTCCCGGTGCAAGACTATCAGCAGGAAGAGGAAGCCCAGGAGCATGTAGCCCAGGTTACTGAAAATGTTGTTGAAGGCACTAAGAGATGAGAGGGAAACCATGAGAGAGTCCAGGCGATCCCAGAGATTTGGAGAATGAATGAATGCATGCATGAATGAATGCATGAATGAGTGAGTACTCTCAGCATTCCATGTTTTCCGCCCAGCCTTATCATCAGATTTCACGACTGGCAAATCATGAGAGAGCATCTTTAACCTCACTCCTTTATTTTAGGATGCCTAGCCTGTGATGTGTCCTTTTCCGCTCTGGGATACCTGATTGGCTTCCCTAACCCTCACCCAAGCCTCTCTTATCCTGATGGCACTGACATGGCATGAATCCTGGCAAACAGCTGCTCCAAGGATGGGCAGCTTGGCCAAGAGTTTCAGCTACACTGTGAGAGGGAACTCTCATAGCTGGACCCATGCTATGTGTGTTGGAAGTTGTAGTAATTAGAGCAGACATTCAGCTCTGTAACTGTGAAGGGTCAGCTGGTCATAGCCAGCTGCTTTATTTCAGGAAACTGAGGCTACTTTAGTTCTAGGACAAGAAGCCTGGCTCCCAACTGCCGGGCGAATGCTCTTTCCACTTCACCATGTTCTGGTGGGCAGAGCATGGCCTTGGAGGCAGCAGGCCCGGGTTCGAGTCCTGACAGCACTAACAGTCGAGGGACCTCCCACAACAAGTCCTTACCTTTCTAAGCCTTAGCATCTTCATCTGAAAATGGGAGTAATGATAATCCTATCTACTTTATGAGGTTGTTCAATGGACTAACGTATGAGCCACTCGTATGACGCTCACGGATGAGTGTCATCACAGATGGGACCTGCTCTTTTCAAAAACATCCCTGCCCTCTTCTCAGCTGGTTATTCTTAGGAATACAGGAATGAGAGGAACACATCTGGTCTCAAAACTTCTAGATTTCATCCCTCTTTACCCTTGACTGGGGTAGTTTTCCATGGTTGTTTTTAGTATTTTTAAAAACTGACATCGCATCACTCAGAAAGGAACCTGTAAATGCCTCACAGGCAACCAGAGGACAGGGCTCACCTCAGGATGCCCAGGGGTTGAGCACAGAGGAAGTTGTAGTAGCAGATGTCCTGACTGCCCGTGACATTTGCCACCTGCAAAATCAAGAGTGAGAAGAGGAGCTTCATGTTTCCCCATCTGCTGAGCCCAGCCTGAAATCACAAAAGGCAGGCACTGCTCACAGTGATTTGCCACATAACCAGTGTTTCTTCTCAGCAGAGGACAGGTCATCGTCTGCCCCCTTCACATAGCACAAGCTTATTAGGACTGTCATGATATGTTCAGTTTTCTAGATGCATGTGGAAGGGTATGGAGCTGTCCCATTCTGTGTGTGGAAGTGCTAACGACAGGGCAAGGCAACATGAGGAGGTATGTGTTCGGTTTTCCATATTTATCACCATCTCTATCATTAAGGACCTTCCCAGACCATAGCACAGCTTTATCTTCTGACAGGGCCCTGAGGTACTCAGAGAATATTGAGATTACAAGCAGTGGTGCCCAAACCTCATAAAAGTCCTTCTCCTCATCCCATAGTAAGTATGGAATTAGCTGAAATATTATTAGACCATTGCTTTTCAAACTTGGCTATAGAATCACTGGGGTTTAATCAATACTGATGCCTGGTTCTACTCTCAGAGACTTGGACCTAATTTGGTATAGGGTACAGCTGGATACCAGGATTTAAAAGCTCCCCAGGTGATTTTGATGCACAGCAGTTTGAGAGGCACTGCCTTAGACAAACCGTCAGCCTCGTCCTTTTTATTTATTTTTTATTTTAAAGATTTTTTATTATTTTTTAAAAATATTTTATTTATTTATTTGTTAGAGAGAGAGAGCGTGAGCGAGAGAGAGTGAGCAAGCCTACAAGCAGGGGAAGCTTCAGGCAGAGGGAGAAGCAGGCTCCCTGCTGAGCAAGGAGCCTGATGCAGGACTCGATCCCAGGACCCTGGGATCATGACCTGAGCCAAAGGCAGACGCTTAACTGACTGAGCCACCCAGGCATCCCTATTTATTTATTTGACAGAGAGAGACACAGCGAGAGAGGGAACACAAGCAGGGGGAGTGGGAGAGGGAGAAGCAGGCTTCCCGCCGAGCAGGGAGCCCGATGCAGGGCTCAATCCCAGGACCCTGGGATCATGACCTGAGCCGAAGGCAGACGCTTAACAACTGAGCCATCCAGGCGCCCCCAGCCTCATCCTTTTTAAGTAGGCTTTCTGTATGTAATAAATGCTAGAGACAGTCATTAAGTGATCTGGACCCCAAGGTTCTATGAAGGAGTAACGAGGATTCTCAAGCTGTTTTAATTATTTTTTTTTTACTTTATTTTAGTTCTTATTTTATATTTTTTAAAAATTTGAGTATCTTATTGGTTTTGGAAAGCTGCTTTTAGTTTTATAAAAAATATTTACCCTCAACAAGAGGGCACAGGCTAAATTACACACCAGGTTTCTTTGTTTTGGTCTGGAACTTTATTTACTCTATTCATTACCCCTTGATAATCAAAAGTTCAGCCTGGTAAATGGCAGATATAGTTGATAGATATTATGACTGAATGAGCATAAGGCAATACCTTCGAATTGGATGACAAAATAATACAAGAGGTCCCAAGCCCTTCTGTGATAAAACAATTGGGAACTGGATATAAAGGTCCATCAAAGATGAAGCAATGGACAAGTCCAATTGGAACTGAAGGGGGAAATTCATACTTGGACTGAGCTCAAGTGATATATACTTTTCTCTGTAAGTCATAGCAAAGATCTCTCCCTGCAGCATGAAAACTGGGCTTCTGGGCTTCTGGGCTTCTGGGTAATACTTACTTTCTGGTAGGTGATGACCAGTTGGATCACAGGCAGTGCATAAAACACAGAGATGGTGACGATGTTCCTAAGCAGGCAGAAAGAACAGGAAATAGTTTTCCAAATTACCAATGGAATCTTTGCTCAATTTTTAAAAAAAGAATCCTTCCATCCCATAACTCCCTAGTTAACTTGTAAAAGTAATTAGAAACTGATTAATAGAGTTCCTGTCTCTCCAGAGTTCCACAACTGCAATCATTGGTAAAACTATAAATAACACTTTCTTCTGCTTTACCCAAATTATGGATGAGGATGTTGTCTGATTAAAAGTGATCAGAGTGTAAGTAATGGGAGATGGATCGCATGAAGGGATGTGGCTCTCTTAGATACCTCTTAGTTCCAAAATGATGGTCCCACTATGAAATTCCATGGGGCCCCCACTGTCCCTTGCTTCCCTTGACTATCTGTACCCAAGTAAAAGGGCATCCTTCCAGAGAAAAGAATGGAAGAGCTGTCACAGCATCAGCTTGGGGTTTCTGGGGGGGGTACGGGGTGCTGGGTGTGGGGTGGGGGGGTGTCTCCTGCCAGGCGGCTCAGTCTCTCGGGTTGGAGAGAGGCTGCGCCTGGAGGTGCTTGACCACCACAGGGCAAATTATCACTGGCTGGGGTATCATCTCGTCTCAGGGTGGTTTCCAGCTACTCTGAGATGCTGTAGACCTCTAGTCCCCAAAATCACTGGCTCTTCTAAGATCCAGGTCGGGTGAGAAGACAGAATACATATTAAGAACATAAAGGCTCCAGTTTAGTGTGTCTCATGGGAGGTAGTGACAGGTTATTGTTATGTTGTCTTTCTGGAAATGGATTTGGTGTGCTCCCTAAACATGTGGGAGTCTACCATCATTCTCGTTTTTACTTTGTATGTATTTAGTTTAGGGCTGGTTGCCTTTTACAGTTTATTTTTGTTTTTCTTATGGAATGTGGCATGAATTCTCGGAACATCTATACTGCTGCCTCATTAAACAGAAACTGGTGCCATAAGTGATTGTGGCTTTTACTAAGAAAACTTTCATTTTATTCAAGGGAACTGTGGTCCTAGCAATCATCTACTCACCAAAAATAAATCTTATATTTTTTGCTGATAATTCTCTGGTCCTTCCGGGACAGATCTGACAGGAAAAGGAACACCTAGGATACCAAATAAAAAGAGAATGAAAAACTGTACTTGGCTTTTTTGGCAGAAGACACAAAGGAGAGCTTTACAAAATTTCAATCCAATACATCGCTAGGGATTAAAAATATTTAATAAAACCTTTCTCTCAATTTTTTTTTCACAATACCTCAATAAAAATCCCAGTATTTTCTCTGAAATGGTAAGAATTGGCTGATGTGGAAAAACTACTGGGAGTCTCAAATGCTTCATATATCTCAGGAACTGGTTTTCAGTTTTCAGAGATGTCCAGTGTGTGGTTCTCGAATGACAGGATTGAAACTGGGCAATCTACTTTCACCTCCCTTACTGGCTACAACACAATAAAATAAATATATGCCAGAAAGAAATGAGCTTTATTCCTGAAGAACGATATGTGCAGAACCAGGGAGTTTTCCCAGGTATACCCCTCAGTGAATCTTCCATCTGCTGGATCCCTTCCTCCTTTATGGTCCTCAGTCAGCCGCTTCAGACCCTGAGTGGTGGTGTCGTTGCTGTTGTTGTTGTTTAAAGTTTTACTTATATAAGTAATCTCTACAACCAACATGGGGCTTGAACTTACAACCCAGAGATCAAGAGTAGCACGTTCTTCTGACTGAGCCAGCCAGGCTCTTCCAGACCCCGAGGAGCTGGAATAAAATGCTCTGTTCTAAATGCTCTCGCTTTCTTCCTCCAGAAAGAAATGCTAATTAGCAGAGTATTGTTTACAGTCTGTACTTATGTTTTATCTCAAAAGCCCTCAGGGAAGTTTGGTTTTCCCTTGAAAGGAAAAAATAAAGGAAACTGAGGCTTGCTGAAGGTGTATTTGACTGTTGAACCTTCTGCCCTTGCCCAGAGTTTGGCCAAGCAGAGATACCTTGGTCCGGATGATGTTCTTATCACTCTCAATGTCTGGCAAGGTGTCGAAGTCACTCTCCTCCACGGAGCTGTCTGTGTCTGACTGGAACGTCTGCCCACCATTGGAGGAGGACATCTGCCTGCCAGGACTGGAACTTGACTCCTCTGAAACAGAGAAAACTCAGCTGCCTTCCAGAGCTAGGAAGGACCCATGCAGCCCATTCCTCTCTGCAAAAAAGCACAGTGCTGACTCATTCTTGCAAATGTTGTGCTGGTAAAAATGAACTCCTTACCCATAACACATGTGCTTTCTCTCAATTCCTCCTCAGTGGACTTCTAATTGTCTATTTCTAGGGCCAAATACATATTAAGAACATAAAGGCATCTGCTCTGATAAAGTATCTGGATGCAAAAAATACGATTATGCTTATATGTCATGTTTCATATTTTAAAATATGAACATAAATATATAAACATATACATGCACAGTTTTGTATAGCATCTACCACATATCCGTGTAAGCACACACATGTCCAGCAGCTATACATTGCTCGTGGAGAAAGTATCTGTACACTGAAATCCCCCACATGCCGTATCTATGATTATATAATGAGAACAATACTCTTGGGAAGAAGAGTCCTTGTGTTCTCGTGAATGTTTCCCAGAGCAGATGGGAATTTGTGCAGCTTGATGAGCACATGAGCTGAGCCTACCTTTCGCTTTATTTCTTCTGTTCAGAGAGTTAAAAAAAAACCCAAAAAACCCACCACAACAAAACCCTGTTCTTACAGAGCCAGAAATAAGTAGCCTGCACGAAACCCACATGCTTCTCAAAGTTACAGCACACCAGAGCAGGAATAAGGATTCCCAGCCCCTCTGTCCTGACATTTTTAAGCGAACCTTTCATAGACCCACAGGAATTCTGTCTCTTTCAGGCCACGCAATGAACCCTGGGGGGTTGCCATGTGAATGACTAGGTTCAATTATGAAGTTAGCCAGAATGAACGATTGTCAGGCTATAGCCATGTTCACCTGCAGCAGAGCCCTAGTCTTCTGATAGCCCTTACTCCACTGAAACCTGAGAATGGAACAGCTCGTCAATTGATGTCGGGCTCCCTGACATCGACTCTGACACACTGTTCATGCCCCAAACTCAGGCTGGGTATGAAAACATCCCCACGGGGACCTTGGGAGTCAATGGCAACCACGATAGGGAATTCGGCTCACGTGTGGCTGGCACAGAAGAACAGAACTGGAGAGAGTTAGAGCTGGAAAGAGCCTTCCAGATCACCGAACTGATTCATCTTATAAAGAAAAGACAGTCTTACATGATGACTGCCTTGCCCACTCTCACGGTCAGTAGTGGCTGGAGGGCCCTTTGTATCCTATTCTCTGGAGAATTAGGAAGTACTTCATTGAATGGACTCATTGTAGGAAATACCTATTGCCCCATAATTGCTTCCTTCAGGGGTGCCGGCAGCAATGGGATGTGACACCGCCGTATTTCCAGAGCCTGTTGGAAAGAAACACAGAGGCCAACACTTTACGTCCAGTTGCCGAAACAAAACAACACAACTCTAAGTAGTTTGAATCATAAGGCCACAACATTTTAAACTTGATTTTCTTTTTACCCTAATATAAGACCCACTAAACTTGACCTGCGGGCCAAATCTAGCCTGCCACCTGTTTTTGTATGGCCCTTGAAGTAAGAATGGTTTTAAAATTTTTAAATGGTTGTGCTCACTTTGGCAGCACATATACTAAACTAAAATTTTTAAATGGTTGGGGAAAGAAATCAGAAGATTTCATGACAGGTAAAAATTACATGAAATTCAAATTTCAGCGTTCATATATAAAGTTCTATCAAAACACAGCCACAGTCTTTGGGTTCATCTATGGCTGCCTTTGGCTATGGCAGAAGAGTTGAGAAGTTGCGACAGAGACGTCTAACATATTTGCTCTTTGGCACCTTACAGAGAATATCTTCTGGTCCCTGCCTGAAGGGATTACAGAATCGCAAGAACAAAGGGGCAGAGGTCCTAAAATCACTTGGAGGAAGGCCGTCACTGAATGGAAACATAGAAATAAACTTCTCTGATGAAAGCACTGTAATTTGGAGGTGTTTAAAATAGCATTTAGCAGTACCCTGACTATGGGCAGGATGAGCCCAGATAGGGAGGACATTACTGCACTCCTCGGAGCGATGAATGATGACAACTGAGCTAAGGATATGGAAGAATATGTGATATTTTGAGAGAGATTTCTGGATCTGTTGCCAAATGCCTGTTGGCAGGGAGAGAAAAACTGAATAAGATAATGTTCCTCAAACGTTTTCATTGAGAGGTACTCCTTGTAGCAGCACAGGGAGCGAACTCATTCCTGAGTCTGGTGGTGTCATCTGGAGCCAGGCCAGCACAAGTGTCAGAGAAAAATATCTGCGCACCATCTCCTTGGTTATCAGGCAAGATGCTCTTCATTGAGTTTATCCACCTCTGAGGATTAGGCAGAGCTGAACAAGGAGAGGAGAAACCACAAACAAGCAGCTTATCTAGGCCATTTCTCTGACTGACTTAATGCTACAGTGTTTCCAGGAGCCACACTCCTCTGTGGAGATGCAGGAGAATATTTCTTCACTGCCTCCTGAGCTTTGTCAAGGATCTGGGATATTGTCAGGCTGGCGGGAATTTCAATATTGGATCTTTCTTCTGTGGTGAGGTTGCTTGTATCACATTACAGGCAAAAAAAAGTCTGTGAGTTAACTGGTCAGTCTCACATACTGTTGCAGGGAAATATATTTTCAGGGAAGACACATAACTGAGGATATTCTATAATATCCTCACTGTAAATATATTCCCATTTCTTCACAGAAAATACCCTTCGCTATAGCTTACATTCGTGCTCCAGTATGTAACATGTGTAATGGAACCAAAAGCCTCCAACAGTTCATCATTTGTCACAGCCAACTCTCTTCATCCCGCTCTTAAACTTCCTCCCACTGGTGAGTAGTAAAAACATTAAAAACAAGCCAATCTGTAGGTTTTATCATGGTTTTTACTCTTGGTGTGTCCATTCCTTTTCTTCATGAAGAAAAAGAATTAAATCCTGAGTTCAAAATATTTAGCCAGATGATGAAAGATGGCCTTAGAGACGCAATTTCCTTCCTCCTTTTGGTAGCGTAGCCAAGAGTGGGCTCAGCTGGACAGCAAGGCCTTTGGCTAACACGGTGTTCCTGGTGGGCAAGGCTGTTCCCAGGCCCTCAGAATGCAGACTCCCTGGCACTGTCCCCAGGCCTGGGGATTCCTTGATCTACTTCTTATCACTTCAAGAACACAGATGTTCCTTGGCCATTCTTGGGCTCACCCATAAATATGTAACATGGTATCAACACCCGCTAAGCTTTTCATCCAACTTCAAGGCAAAGGAGCAGGTTATTCTCAGACTCTTAAGTAGGAGACATTACATTTTTTTTGTGCACAATAGCAGTGTCATGTGGAGATGTTGTGTACAATTTGACTGGCTCTTTGATCTAGGACAGATTTGGCCATAGTTACAGCACAGAGCTTTGGTTGCTGCTTCTGCTACTGCAACTACTGACTATAAAGAGTCCCACGTACTCTTTGCACCACCGCTAGTACTGCCACCGTAACTCGTGCTCCCATTGTTGTTACTACGACGACAACTATTCCTACTAGTACTACTCCTACTACTACTGGCTAGTGTTTACTGAAAACTTACTGTATGTCAGACACCTTTTAAGTTCTTTACAAGAATTTACTCTTCTAATTTTTCAACAGCCCTATGAGGTGGGTACTACGATCACCATTTTAAAATAAGAAAAGGGAGGCACTTGAGAAATCAAGTGATTTGCCCAGAGTCCCTCAGATCATGGGTGGAGAGTGGTTCATTGTATTGGTTTCAGTTATAACTTATCTTCTTCTTCTTTTGGGGGGGGAGAGAGAGAGTGTGAGTGTGAGCAGGGGGAAGGTCAGAGGGAGAGGGGAAGGGAGAGTCTTAAGCAGGCTCCACGCCCAGCATGGAGCCCAACTTGGGGCTCGATCTCATGACCCTGAGATCATGACGTGAGCCGAAACCAAGATTCAGGTGCTTAACTGACTGAGCCACCCAGGTGCCAAAACGTATCTTCTTTTTTTAAAAGGATTTTATTTATTTATTTGAGAGAGAGAGAGCTTGAAAGTGGGGCGTGGGGGGCAGAGGGAGAGGGAGAAGCAGGCTCCCACTGAACCAGGACCCTGGGATCATGACCTGAGCTGAAGGCAGACGCTTAACTGACTGAGCCACCCAGGCACCCCCAAAACTTATCTTAACTGAAAAATAATACAGGGATTTTCCTTCAAAATATGAATGTCTGGCAGCAAGGGTGTTACTTCCATGGAGTGTCCAAGAATATCTTTCAAAAGAGACAAGGAGGTTGAGACTCCTTTGCATCTCCACTATAGTAAGCTGATACTTTAAAGAAGTATCTAAGCACAACATTTGTTTTTAGGTTGTCTACTGCTGTTTGTCGATGATCCTCTATTGGGTCATGCTAATATCTTCGTTCTGTCGAGTTCACTGCAGGGAGTCTCACAGAAACCATGGTGATGGGCTCATCCCAGGTGATGTAGCCTTTTACATTTCCCTCAGTGTCTTTCATATTTTTCTCTTTTCAAGCTTAAGCTCCCTCTTTTTAAAAATTTCGACTCAAGTATAACTAACATACAGTGTTATACTAGTTCCAGGTGTACAACATGATTCAACAATTCTGTTGAATTCTTGCTCATCCTAAGTGTACTCTCACTCCCCATCACCTATTTCACTCATCCGCCCACCCACCTCCCCTCGGGCAAGCACCAGTTTATTTTCTGTATTTAGAAGCCTTTTTTTCTTATTCATCTTTTTTTCTTTGTCTGTTTGCTTTGTTGCTTAAATTCCACATATGAGTGAAATCATATGGTATTTATCTTTCTCTGACTGACTTATTTCACTTAGCAGTATGCCCTCTAGGTCCATCCATGTTGTTGCAAATGGCAAGATTTCATTCTTTTTTATGGCTGAGTAGTATTTTTTTTAAAGAATTATTTATCTATTTGAGAGAGAGAGAGAGAGTGTAAAGGGGGAGGGACAGAGAGAGAGAGAGAGAATCCTGAGGCACAGGATGCGGGGCTCCATCTCACCACCCTGAGATCATGACCTGAGCCAAAACCGAGAGTCGGTTTGAGTCGGCCTGAGCCGCCCAGGCACCCCTAAGTAATATTCTATCACACACACACACCACATCTTTATTCATTCATCTACCTATAGACACTTGGGCTGCTTCCATAATTTGGTTATTATAAATAATGCTGCAAGAAACATAGGGATACATATATCTTTTTGAATTAGTGTTTTCATTTTTGGGGGATAAATACACAGTAGAAATTACTGGATTATATGGTAATTCTATTTTTCAATTTTTTGAGGAATCTCCATTCTGTTTTCCACAACAGCTGCACTAGTTTGCATTCCCACCCACAGTGCATGAGGTTTCCTTTTTCTCCATATCCTTGTTGGACACTTGTTATATCTTGCTTTTTTGATTTTAGCCATTCTGACAGGTGTGACAGGTATCTTATTGTGGTTTTGATTTGCATTTCCCTGATGATGATTGATGTTGAGCATCTTTTCAGCTGTCCATTGGCCATCTGGATCTCTTCTTTGGAGAAATGTCTGTTCATGTCTTCTACCTATTTTTAAATTGGATTATTTGTGTGTGTTTTTTTGGTGTTGAGTTATATAGGTTCTTTATATACTTCAGATATAATTCCTTATTCGATACATCATTTGCAAATATCTTCTTCCATTCAGTAAGTTGTCTTTCTGTTCTGTTGATGGTTTCATTTGGTGTGCAGAAACTTTATTTTGGTGTAGCCCCCATTAGTTTATTTCTGCTTTTATTTCCCTTGATCGAGGAGACATATCTAATGTTGCTAAGGCCGATGTCAAAGAGATTACAGCCTATGTTTTCTTCTAGAAGTTTTATGGTTTTGGGTCTCACATTTAGGTCTTTAATCTATTTTGAGTTTATTTTTGTGTATGGTGTAAGAAGACAGTGGTTCAGTTTCATTCTTTTGCATGAATATCCAGTTTTCCCAGCGCCATTTGTTGAAGGCTGTCTTTTTCCTTCCCATCGAATATTCTTGCCTCCTTTGCTGTAGATTAATTGACCATAAAAGTGTGGGCTTATTTTTGGGTCCTCTATCCTGTTCCATTGATCTACATGTCTATTTTTGCGCTAGTACCATACTGTTTTGATCACTACAGTTTTGTAGTATATCTTGAAATCTGCAATTGTGATTTTTTCATCAGTTTTGTTCATCTTTTTCAAGACTGCTTTGGCCATTTGGGGTCTCTTGTGGTTCCATACAAATTTTAGGATTATTTATTCTAGTTCTGTGAAAAATGCTGTATTTTGATAGGGATCAAATCTGTAGATTTAAGCTCCTTCTTTTTAACCATTAACTTATGTCCTTTTATAAAGGTGTAATTAAAAAAATATTAGATGTGTAAATAGTAAGTGAAGAATGACACTAAAATCATAAAACCCAGAATTTTTGGCATTTTGGTGTTACTGAGAAGCCCTCTGCTATGAGAAGTAGAAGAGTGCATAGGAAAATGCTTGAGTTTGGTTATGGTAGGAGGTTGAAATGGTTTGTGGGAAGCAATGTTTTTGTGGGTATAAACAAAGGAGAAAAAAACCCAAAAGCTAAAATCAAAGCAAGCGAGCAAACAGAAACAATCACTGTTTTGTTAGGTGAAACTTCATTAAAAAGCAAAAGCCACCTGTGTGGGTCTGTTCAGACTTGGATGTGTTACTGACTTCAATACTCAGCTCTGGCTCATCTGCAACACCAGTGGTTCTATGATGGACAAGAACATCAGGTTTTTCATGGGCAATACAAAACATAAAGATGTTTTAACTTTGTGGACTTCTATAGGCACATTTTAAATATGAGATTGGCCAACACGGGATAACAGTATTCTATTAATTTTTCTCACATCTAAGGCCTTCACTGACTGCAAAAAACCAAAGCATCATTTCCCAAACTTCAAATATACTTGATGCTCCTGGAAGGGGAGTTATATTTATATTTAACTCTATGGTATTTAGAAATAATTAAGCACAGAATATCAGTTTATAGGACAGACCAAGATGTTCTGGGTGGGAAGAAGTAAACATATAAAGTTGTGAATGAGCTCATCTTAATGAAGAAACTTGTTCTGGCATCGTTTTTCTGAGCATGAACCCTGTGCCATCCGTTTACTAACATTGAATAAGATATGCTCGCATGCTGGCTTTTTATGTTAAGTGCTCAGTGTGAGGAGGAAAACTTCATTTTGAGCATGTTTGGATCTTTCAGCGACTTCATATTTATAATCGTCCTGCCTTCTTCTGTCTCTGGGCTCAGGAGGTTGGAAGCTGAAGAGGGAGTCAGAAATGATGCGAAATCACTGCCCAGAAATTTCAGTTTCATGCCAATAGGCTACCTATTCCCAAAGTTTCAAAAGTTGAGGAGAGAGTTCCAGTCCAAGACGGCAATGTGGGAAGACACTGAACTCACCTCCTCCACGGACACACCAAATCAACACCTATTTATAGAGCAATTCCTCCTGAAGAACTGAGGGCTGACTGAGCAGCTTCTGCACAACTAAAGATAGAAGAGCAAGAAAAATAAAGACATGCTAACGAAGGGCCCTGTAGGAACTGCCGTGGGAGGGATAGTTCTGAGGGACCGTGAGCAGCTTTGTCTGCCTTGGGGCACAGACAAAAGCCATGGTTTAAAAGGGCAACTAGAATAGAAAAGATCCAGCCTTAGAACTCTCCATGGTGGGAGAGCTACTGGAACTCTCTCTGCTGGGGAAGAGCAGGCGAGGGCCTTGGTTCACTGTCCCCCTCCACCTGGATAGTGCACAGGGGAGCAGGTCCCCGGTCCTCCGGGCGTCAGAGCTGGCCTGCCTCCTCAGTGCATGTTAGTTTTAGAGCTTCTCTCTTCAGAAAGATAAATAAACTTTAAATATAAACAGGGACACCTGGGTGGCTCAGTTGGTTAAGCATCTGCCTTCAGCTCAGGTCATGGTCCCAGGGTCCTGGGATCGAGTCCTGCATTGGGCTCCCTGCTCTGCGGGGAGTCTGCTTCTCCCTCTCCCTCTGCCACTCCCCCTGCTTGTGCTTTCTCTCTCTGACAAGTAAATAAATAAAATCTTAAAAAAATTATATATATACTTATATATATGTATAAACAATATATGTGAAGCTTTTCTATTCTATTAAAATTTGCCACCAATGTTAAGCTTATCTATTAAAGAGAATGTTTGGTGAGGGAAAAAAAAAAAAAAGACAGGCATCCCAAGTCCCCAGTGACAAGCTGGGTAAAATCTCCTCTGTTTTGGCATTCCTTTTAACCTATCAATACTCCATGACCACACTCCCAGATCTCAGCATGGAGAGGAAGAAATCCAAGTCATGCTCACCTGGTCACTTTCTCATTACCCCCACCCCCCTGCTATCATCCTCCCACCATCCTACTGGACTGAGTGAAGTGGGCTTCTTCTCTTTTGCAAGAGTCTTCCCTGCCTCATCTTCTTGTTGTGGTAGCATTTGACCCCTCCCTTTCAGATGCCTAGGTCCACACTGATTTGAGCAGGACACCATGCCAAGTCTAATGGGATCCTCCTTCCCTTTCGGACACTGCTTCTAGCATTTTCTCTGGCTACCAGCCCCCAGGGCATTCCCCTGTAGCTCTGAGCTCCACTGATCTTCCTGTAGCCGCCAGAGTTACAGGGATCCCGGCCCTTGGGAGAGAAAGGCATTTCTGTATCCTTGCTCCTTGGCAAAGATTCCTCCCCTGAAATGTCTCACCTTAGCTTTCAGCTAAATAGTGTCCCTCACTTGCTTCTGTCTCTTGGTCCAGGCTGGTTTCTCAATGCTCCCTTTGATGTGCTTAAAAGAGTTGCTAACTGGTTCTTTCCTAGGGGAGAGTGTGTCTTCTCTGTTCTTGTCCTCAGCATCTAGGTCGTGTCTCACTTGTCATATACCATCTTTCTGATACAGCCTGGCTGTATCAGAACAGAGGCTCCTGATTCTCCCTATTTCAAAGCCCTTTGTGGTGAAAAAACTAAGCTGGGATTTCGTTCAGGTGTCCTCACCTGGCCGTCCGTGTGTTTAAGTCAGATATTCTCAGTTGGAGGGTAGAGGTGGCGGGGTGTGTGTGTGTGTGTGTGTGTGTGTGTGTGTGTGTCATTTTGGCCCCAAGAGGACATTTGGCAATGTCTGGAGACATTTTTCGTTGTCACGAGGATGGAGTGTACTGGTGGTTTCTAGTAGGTAGAGGTGAAGAATGCAGTTAAACATCCTACAGTGCACAGGATAGCCCCTAACAACAAAGAATTATCTGGCCTGTAATGTCAATAATGTGGAGTTTGAGAAACACAGGTCTTAGGGGAAGATGATCTCGTCCTAGTTCTGTAAGTAGGCTTGATTGATCTGTAGGTAAATCTACTCCTTTGCAGTGACTGATTAAACAATAAGTAAATGTCCCACTCTACACCAGTGAAACGTGAGAAGTTACTGGGTGCTTCGGAAAAAGTCCTTCCTTTTGGACATTGTCAGGTGAGGGTGTCAAGCTAATTCACCTCACCACCAGCACTGGAAGGAAAGCAGAGTCAAGGGAATGGCAGGGAAAAGGACTAGGGCCGTCAGACTCAGTTAACCCTAAAGCCTACCCTTCCGCTCAACTTGCAAGGAGAGGAGCCCCTTTACCGTTTAAGCATGTTTTGAGATCTATTTTGTTATTTGCAACCATGTGAATCCTAACTGATGCATCTTTACTCTTTCTTCCTCCCTCCCTACCTTCTTCCCTCCCTTCTCCCCCTCCCTCTTTCTTTCTTCCTCTCTTTCTCTTTTCTCATTCTTTCTTTCTTTCTTTTTTTCCTTTTCTTTTCTTTCTTTCTTTTTTCTCTTTCTTTTCTTTTCTTTTTCTTTTTTTCCTTTTCTTTCTCTTTCTTTCTTTCTTTCTTTCTTTCTTTTTTCTTTTTTTCTTTTTTTTTTTTTTTTTTCTTTTTTTTCTTTCTTTCTTCTGTCTCTCTTTTTCTTTTCTTTTCTTTCTTTTTCTTTTTTTCCTTTTCTTTCCTCTTTTCTTTTCTTTTCTTTTCTTTTCTTTTTTTCTTTTCTTCTTTTCTTCCCATTCATTCATTTCTGCTTGCCACCTGAAGGGGGCCTATAGCTCTTAGTTAATTTTCAGAGCCTTCTTGATCTTGGACAATGATCTGGCTAAAGTCTCAGCTCTGTCCACCTACACTTCACTGTTCAGGAAACTTCTGAACACAGAAATTCCTTGAATTATCATTAAAATAATAAAATGTCTTCACTCATACAATAAAAATAACAGACCACCCTTTCACAGAGCACCAATGGGATCCAACTAATCAGGCTTTCTAAGTTCAACTGAGACCTAAAATAAGAGCAAAACTTGGAGAGCACTAGAAGAGAAAGGATGAGATCCAGAGAGAAGACAAATTCATTTACACATTTTATGAATACAAGGGAAAGTGGGACTTCGGATTTTAAAGACCCTAGAGCAGGTGTCCTTTCACAGTCTTTCATACTGCTAGTTGAATGTTATCAAAACCAATTGCCCGGGTGGCTGGAAAAATAAACATGCTGGCATTGAGGAAGACAAAAAAATCAAAGGAAGGCAGGAGAAGCAGCCCACCAGCAGAGTGAGAAATGTTCCTGATGGGTGGACAGGGGATCAGTTTGTGTCTTTCTAATATTCTGTGGGCTCATTTAAGTACAGAAAACACAGAACTAAACATCAGCTGCATGTGACTTAAAAATCAAATCTCATTTCATCATTCCTTTTCCAAATAAGCACTACATGCCAAAGAACTTATGAACACTATCTCACACTGATTTAGACTTTTCAAAAATGAGGACATTTACAAAAGGTATAAACTTCAGTTATAAGATAAATAACTCCTGGGGATATAAGGTGCCACCTGGTGACTATAGTTAGTGCTACTATATTGTATATTTGAAAGTTCCTAAGAGAGGAGGTCTTAAAAGTTCTCATCACAAGAGAAAAAAATTATAACTGTGTGTGGTGATGGGTGTTAACTAGACTTATCATGGTGATCGTTTTGCAATATATACAAATATCAAATCATTTGGTTGTACACCTGAAAATTATACAGTGTTACTTGTCAATTATTTCTCAGTTAAAAAAATGAGGACATTTAAATTTTTTTAAGTTTTGATAAAAAGATCAGCTAATCAAATTCCTTTGTTCAAATTATCAGAGTGGAGGAAAGGGCATATTACTGTGGTTGAATAATCAGTTACTCTGGATTTCCCAAAGTTATTATACTCCTTATTACACTAATTAGTCTCAAATATTTCCGGTTTTTAGCTACTTGAACAAAAAAACCTCTATCTCAATTTGGGAAAAGTGAACTCTGTATTAGAGTTGACACAATAAATTCTTATTGTTCACAAGTCAGTTTGGGGATAACAGTTTACATCCTAGAAAAGATTAAACTTAAAAAAAAAATGAATGGCTGATAAATGGGCTAGGGGTAACTGCAAGGGATACTCCGAGCAAAGGTTCTTAGTATGAGCTCCATATCTCAGTAATTACCAACTATGAAAACTGGTTCTCACTAGCTCTGCTTTCTCTAGAAAGACTGCTGATTAGATTACTCTGTGGGATAGGTACCAAGGGAGGGTTTGGAAATTACAAAAGGCAGAGAGACAAAAGAAGTACAAATGGGATGTTGCCAAATACTCAATATTATTTGAATTTGAAACCAGGGGTTTTTCTTACCATCACTGGAACCAAAGCTTCCATCAATGGATTTTCTTTTAAACCTATAAACAAGCACACACACATGATTCTAAGACAGTGAAATCCTCAGCATTTCACATTTATTCCCCATAGACTTTGTTGAAGATTTGTCTGCTAGGAACTCTTAAAAATGAGCCTTTGCATGTGGAGAAACTGGACCTCTGATACGTTGCTGGCGGGACTGTAGAATGGTGTAGCCACTTTAGAAAACTCTTTGACAGTTCCTCAGAAAGTTAACATAGGCTTACTGTATGGCCCAATTCCACTCCCAGGCATGTATCTACATACATAAATTCATTAATTTATTTTCAGATTATTTTTTTTCAGATAATTCACACATCATAAAATTCACCCTTTAATGTGCATATTTCAATGAATTTTAGTATGTCCACAAAACTGTGCAACCATCACTATTATCTAATTCCAGAACATTTTCATCACCCCCCCAAATTAAAAACCTACTAGCAGTCACTCCCTAATACCCACTCCTGTACATTTCTGACAACCACAAATCTACTTTCTGTCTCTGTAAATTTGCCTATTCTGGAAATTTCATATAACTCATACTATCTGTGGTCTTTTTTGACTGGCTTCATTCATTAAGCATAATGCTTTCAAGGTTCATCTATATGGTAGCATGAATCAATACATCAGTCTTTTATGATTGAATAATATTCCTTTGTATGGATACACCATGTTTAATTTATTTGTTTACATTTGATGGACATTTGGTTGTTTCCATGTTTTGGCTATCATGAATAACACTGCTATGAACATTTGTGTACAAGTTTTTGTGTGGATACATGTATGAAATTCTCTTGGGTATACCTACATACGAAAGTGCTGGGTATGAGGTAACACTATGTATTTTTTTTTTCAAACTTTTCCACAGTAGCATTATAGCAGGAACTACTTTATATTCCTACTAGCATTGTATAAGGTTTCAATTCTCCATGTCTTTACCAACTCTTGTTACATGTTTTCCATTAAAAATTACAGTCATGCTAGTGGATAAGAAATGATATCTAATTGTTTTCTTGATTTGCATTTCCCTGATGGCTAATGCTGTTGAACATCTTTTCATATGCTTATTGGCCACGGTATATCTTCTTTGGATAAATAGCTATTCAAACCCTTTGCCCAATTTGTTTATTTTTCTTTGTATCATTGGCTAATAAGAATTCTTTATATAGTGTGGATACTAGACTCTTAACGGATATATGAGTTGCAAACATTTTCTCCAGTTTTGTGTGTTGTATTTTTACTCCCTTGATAGGCCCTTTAAAAGTACAAAAGTTTTGGGGTGCCTGGGTGGCACAGTTGGTTAAGCACCTGACTCTTGGTTTCAGTTCAGGTCGTGATCTCAGGATTGAGAGATGGAGCCCTGTGTTGGGTTCTGTGCTCAGTGGGGAGTCTGCTTGAGATTCTCTCTCCCTCTGCCCTTCTCTCTCCTGTTCTCTCTAAAATAAAATAAATAAATCTTAAAAAGAAAAAAAGCACAGGGGCCCCTGGGTGGCTCAGTTGGTTAAGTGACTGCCTTTGGCTCAGGTCATGATCCCAGAGTCCTGGGATCAAGCCCCGCATCAGGCTCCCTACTCAGCAGGGAGCCTGCTTCTCCCTCAACTGCTCCCCCTGCTTGTGCTCTCTCTCTCAAATAAATAAATAAAATCTTAAAAAATTTTTTTTTAAAAATCACAAAAGTTTAATTTTGATGAAGTATAATTTATCTATTTTTTTTTCTTTTGTTACCTGTGCTTCTGGTGTCCCATCTAAGAAACTATTGCCTAATCCAAGGTCACAAAAGATTTACACCTCTGTTTTCTAAAGTTTTATAGATTTAGCTCTTGTATTTGGAACTTTGTTCTGAGTTAATTTTTTTAAAAGATTTTATTTTTTAAGTAATCTCTATACCCAATGTGGGCCCTGAACTCATGACCCAGAGATCAAGAGTCATATGCTCTTCTGATTGAGCCAGCCAGGCACCCCTTGTTAATTTTTTCATATGGTGTGAGGTAGGGGTAAAACTTTGTTCTTTTTCAGGTTGATACCCAGTTGTCTCAACAACATTCGTTGAAAAGGATATTCTTTTTCCATTGAATTGTCTTGGTACCCTTGTCAAAAATAGGATCATAAATGTAAGGGTTTATTTCTGAACTCTCAATTCTGTTCCATCAATTTATATGTCTTTCCACATGTTAGTGCCAGAGTTTTGATTATGTAGCTTTGTAGTAAGTTTTGATATCAGGAAGTGTAAGACCTCCAGTTTTGTTCTTTTTTTTTTTTTATGACTATTTTACCTATTCTGGGTCCCTTGAATTTCCCCAGGAATTTTAGGATCAGTTTGTCAGTTTCTGTAAGAAAGTCAGCTGAGACTTTGATAGGGATTGTTTTGGATCTACTGTAGATCAATTTGGGGAGTATAATCATGTGTTTTAGTTTCTGTTGCTGCTATAACAAATTATCACAAACTTAGTGGCTTAGAATAATACAAATTTATTATCTTATAGTTCTGAATGTCAGAATTCCAAACTGTGTCTTATGTGGCTAAAATCAAGGTAGCAGACAGGGCTGTATTCCTTCTAGAGGCTTCTGGTTATCCTGATATCCTGAGAGATTACCCTTTTCCTTGCTTTGTCTAGCTCCTAAACGCTGCCTCCACTCCTTACTCGTGGCCCCTTCCTCTACCTTCAAAAAGTGCAATGCTCCAACCTCTGCTTCCATCATCACATCAACTCCTTCTGCCCTTGACCCACTGTTTGTTTCCCTCTTACAAGGACCCTTGTGATTAGATTATACCCACATGGATAATCCAGAACAATCTCCATAATTTTATCACATTGGTAAAATCTCTTTTTGCCATGTAAAGTAACATGTTCACAGGTTCTGGATATAGGATGTGGTCATCTTTTGGGGGTCATTATTTTACTACACCATCTTAATAATATTCAGTCTTCCAAACCATGAACATGGGATATCATTCCATTTATTTAGGTCCTCTTTTAATTTCTTTCAAGGATGTTTTGTCATTTTCAGTGTACAAATCTTATATTTGATTTGTTAAATTTATTCTTAAGTATTTTATTATTTTTAAAAATATTTATTTTTTTATTTTAGAGAGAGAGAGCAGGGTGGAGAGGGGAGAGGGAGAGAGAGAATCCTCAAGCAGACTCCCTGCTGAGCGTGGACCCGCCCCTCCCCCCCCTGCCATGTGGGGCTGGATCCCAGGACCCTGAGATCATGATCTCAGCCAAAACCAAGGATCAGACACTCAACTGATTGAGTCACCCAGGTGCCCCAAGTATTTTATTATTTTTGATACTATTGAAAATGGAAATGTTTTCTTAATTTTATGCTTGAATTGTTCATTGCTAGTGTACGGAAATACAACTGGTTTTTGTATATCTCATATCCTGTAATCTCGATGAACTCAGTTTCTTTTTGTAGGTAATGAAAATTAAATAGTGGTGATGGTTGTTGCAACAGTGAATATACTAAAAACCATTGAACTGTATACTTTAAAAGGGTGAATTTTATGATCTGTGAATTATGTCTCAGTGAAGCTATTACTAAAAAAGCCAGGTATGTCATTTGGAAATGTCTGTCAAACATTGAAATGTGAATTACTGTCTCATGTCAAATGAGCCTCTCTTTTGGATGTGAGGTTGGAGTCAGGGAGGAGGAAAGTTAGGGGCTAGACATGGTTGTGCTTTGGTACATGGTGCTCTTATTTACTTTCAGACGGCTACTCTAGAAGTTGCACACTCCTGATCCTGGTATGTTTGGTGGAAGAATTTCTCTTCATACCTCTTTTGTTTTGACACAGCAAACTCATCCCTGCCTCAGGGCCTTTGCTATTGTTCTCTGTCTGGGCCACTCTCTCCCCACATCCTCACATGGCTGGCTCCTTCTTGCTATTAAAGTCTTGCTTCTGAGATATCTTCCTTGCTGAACAAATCAAATCTAAAGTAGCTTCCCCAATCCAACCATTCTCTATCACACTGCAATGTTTTTTTTTCTGCCACTAGCTGAAATTATTTGCTTTATTAATTGTATGTGTTTCTCCTCTGTACAATATAAACTCTATTAGAGCAGGGATCTAGACTGTCTTGTTCGCCACTGCATCTCTAAACTCTGGGACAGAGCCTGGCACATAGGAAATGATAACTAAATATTTGTTGAATGAACAAGGCATATTATTAAGGAGAGCAGTTACAATTTGGCCCAACTGTTCTAGCTGACAAATGAGGCTTTGGCAAAGTCCTTTTTTTTAAAAAAAATAAGTTTAAAATTTTAATTCCAGTATAGTTAACACAGTGTTATATTAATTTCAGGTGTACAATATAATGATTCAACAATTCTATACTTTACCCAGTGCTCATGATGGTGAGTGGGCTCTTTAATTCCCTTCACCTGTTTCACCCATTCCCCCCACCCACCTTCCCTCTGGTAACTTTGTTCTCTATAGTTAAGAGTCTGTTTTTTGGTTTGTCTGTCTTTCTTTCTCCCCCGTCCCTTTGCTCATTTGTTTCTTAGATTCCACACTTGAGTGAAGTCATATGGTCTTTGTCTTTCTCTGACTGACTTATTTCACTTAGCATAATACTCTTCAATTAATGCTATTGCACTTTTTGGGTAAATACCCAGTAGTGCAATTACTGGATCATAGGGTAGTTCTATTTTTAACTTTTTGAGAAATCTCCATACTGTTTTCCACAGTGGCTGCACCAGGTTGCATTCCCACCAACAGTGCATGAGGGTTCTTCTTCTCCACATCCTCGCCAACACTTATTGAAGTCCCTTTTTTTTTTAAGATTTTATTTATTTATTCATGAGAGACAGAGAGAGAGAGAGAGAGAGAGAGAGAGAGAGAGAGGCAGAGGGAGAAGCAGGCTCCCAAGGAGCAGGGAGTCCGATGCGGGACCCGATCCCAGGACTCTGGGATCATTACCTAAACTGAAGGCAGACGCCCAACCATCTGAGTCACCCAGGCACCCTTGAAGTCCCTTTTTAAAACAATCCTAGTGATATTAACTGGCAAGCAATTACGTGAACTCATAAAAGATGATGTGTTTGTACTAACAGGCTTTAACCCACATTTGCTGTAGGTTATAGAGCTGACAAAATTCTTCAGTAGAGGAGTTAAATGATTTAGAAAACTAGGCTGAGGCAGGCAGTATCCCATGAGCAAAGGAGAAAATAGTAAATGAGAACTATGCCAGATTGATTACAAAATGGCTATATCTCCTCTTGTATTCAGCTCCTTAAATCGAAAGTTGGAGTCTGTATCTTCACCTCTTGAATCTAGGCTGGCCTCATGACTTGTTTTGACTAATAGAAAGGAGAAGTGATATCATGCCACTGCTGAACCTACGTCTTAAGGAGGCCTTGCACTCTTCTGCCATCTCTCTTGGAGATACAATAAGCCAGGGCCAGCCTGCGGGAATTTGAGAGACCAAGTGCCGCTGAGGCTGGTCTAGGAGAGCCACCTTCTAGCTGACCTGCCAGGTGATTGCACTCTATGACCACACCCAACCGAGATCTCTGAGCCCAGTCTGGATTAGCCACAGCATCTGGCTGACCCAGAGATTTGTAAGTAAACTTAAATATTACTGTATGCCACTGGAGTTTTTATGGTTGATTTTTATGTAGCATTATTGTGGCCATAGATAACCAATACAAGAATCAAGGGAAGGATGAATACTCTCATGATTGTGCAGTTTGAACTCAATGTCTGGCAGGGTGGTTGGAAGAAATGAACAAGAGAACATATATCCAGATGTGGATGGAACTGGAGAGTGTTATGCTGAGCGAAATAAGTCAATCAGAGAAAGACATGGATCATATGACCTCACTGATATGAGGAATTCTTAATCTAGGAAACAAACTGAGGGTTACTGGAGTGGTAGGGGGTGGGAGGGATGAGGTGGCTGGGTGATAGACAGTGGGGAGGGTATGTGCTATGGTGAGCGCTGTGAATTGTGTAAAACTGTTGAATCACAGATCTGTACCTCTGAAACAAATAATACATTATATGTTAAAAAAAAGAAGAAGAAGATAGTAGGAGGGGAAGAATGAAGGGGGGGAAATCGGAGGGGGAGACGAACCATGAGAGACTATGGACTCTGAGAATCAAACTGAGGGTTCTAGAGGGGAAGGGGGTGGGGAGATGGGTTAGCCTGGTGATGGGTATTAAAGAGGGCACGTTCTGCGTGGAGCACTGGGTGTTATACGAAAACAATGAATCATGGAACATTACATCAAAAACTAATGATGTAATGTATAGTGATTAACATAACATAATAATAAAAGAAAAGAAAAAAAAGAGAACATATATCCAGTGTTTGGCCCAGGGTGTGCACATTTATTGTAGTGGCTCCTTAAATACTTTTTGAACGGATTGTGGCTGGGAATGGGAGGGGAATGGGGTTTAGGTTCAAGTCAGTACAGCTAATACTTTGGATTCTTAGCTCCCTGAGGGCAGGAGCCATGTCTCTTATTCATGTTTCATCCTGATTTCCTAGCATGTACTACAAACCCCAGATATATCAATAATAAAGTACAGGGAGCTCATCAAGCAAATGGCATTATGCTCCAGGACTGGCTTCATTTGGTTTTGTAGAAACCTTTGTTATTTCTGCTGAGTTCAATGAGGGAAGAGTTCTGTTAGTGTTTTCCCTCAGTCTATCCTCTTATTAAGAATGCCAAATAGTTCTTATGTCTCCAGATTTCTATTTTCAGTTTCTCTATATTTGGAAAGAATTTATGCTTGTGCAATTGACTGTAGCAAAATAAGCTGGCAGCCAGAGGTTTCAACAGAGCCTTCTACCTCAACTTGCAAAAGCTGTGCTTGCTTCTGTAGGCCGAATGACAACTTTAGGGAGATTGATATCCAGCTCTTAATTTTTTGTCTGTTGGTATGTTGATTATGCATGCTGTTAACTAAAGAGGTAAAATCCTATCTTCTAAAATTTAAATCATCAGGCATAGAGACGATTTTCCTAAGAGAGGCAGAAGAGATGAATTTCTTTTTCCATGATCTTGGAGCTCATCTGAGTCAAAATGGAGAGCTTTTTGGGTCCTTTCCCAATTGCATCCATGCCAGGGTGCCAGACTTTTGGTTTGGCCTCCCTGATCAGGACTGCGCTCCCTCACATGCCCTGACCACTCCAGACCCGTCTTGACTAGCCTGCCAGGCTCTAGAGCCAGGCTGCCTGGAAATCCAAACAAATCCCAGGTCCCTCATTTATTGGCTATGAATTTTTGGTTGAACTGCTTCAAAGCTCTATGCCTCAATTTCCTTAACCATCAGGTGGTGATAATACTAGTACTCATTGTAGGGCATTAGATGAGATAATCTGCTCAGAGGGCTCAGCATGGTGCCTATTAAATGTCAGCCATTATGATCTAGTAAATTAAGTAGGCTGATAATCAGTTAATGTATATACTTTCCAGATATATTTGCCTATACACTAGGGTTTTTGTTTTTAACTTTTATTAGAAAATAACTTCAAATTTACAGAGAAGTTGTAAAAATAAGAATAAAATATAAAACACCCATATACCCTTTATTTAGATTCACTTATTGTTAGCATGATACCCCATTTGCTTTATCATTCTGCATGTATATAATATGTGTGTGTGTATATATATATATACACACATTAAAAAATATATATATAATTTTTTGAACCATTTGAAAGTAAGTTGCTTATGTAATGAACTGTGATTCCTAAGTATTTCCATTTTTTTAAAGTAAGCTCTATGCCCAACATGGGGCTCAAACTCACGACCCTGAGATCAAGAGTCTCGTGCTCTACTGACTGAGCCAGCCAGGCGCCCTCAATACTTCCAAAGAATAAAGATATTCTGATATTCTCTTCCTTAATCACAGTATCGTCAAATTCAGCAAATTTAACATCAATATGATACTCTTACCTAATCTGTCTGTATTACAATTTTGTTAACTGATCCAATAATGTCCTTTATAGCATATTCTTCTTCTAGCAAAAGATCCAGTCTGAGACCAGGTGTTGCCTTTGGTTGCCCATATCTCTTTCGTCTCCTTCAATCTAGACCATTTCCATGGCCTTCCTTTGTCTCTGAAGACACGTTCTAATAGAATGTTTGTCATTTTGAGTTAGTTCCGTTTTTCCTCAGGATTACATACAAAATACGCCTTTCTGGCTGGAATATTGCATACGTGGTGCTCTCTCCTCAGAGTGTCTCATGTGGAGGCACACAACATCCATCCATCCATCCTTGCTCACATTAATTTTGATCACCCAGCCAATCCTGGTTTGAGTTTCCATTGGAGAGTCACTATGTTTCCCTTACAACTAGGAAGCAAATCATGGGGATACACCTTATGGCAGTGCAGTACCTTGATTCTCATCAGATTTCCCTCATAGTTTAGTATCCACTGATGATTCTTAATCTATGCAAAATGATGATTTCCCACTGCCAGCACTCCTTCCATATTTTCCAGTCAGCCTTTGGCCTTCTGATATAGGCAAGAGTCCTCCCTTAACACTGTCAGCATTTGCTAATGGCTCCCTTCCCTAATGCGAACTACGTGGTTGGTGCCTTTGGATTTGTATCTGGAGGTATTTAGGTCCTCCCTCCCTCCCTCCTTCCCTCCCTTCATCAATTTGGATTCACAAATTTCTATTTTTCTCAGTAGTTTATAAATTTATTATTCTTAATTATTTTGATGCTCAAATTGTGCCAGATATGGCCAGTGGTAGTCCCAGGGTTTTAAAATTCAGTTTCTCGACGGAAAAGCTCTGTGAGGGTCACAGAAGAGAGTTATTTTTTGAATCCGAGCTAGGCCTGTACCACTGAGACAGCTGTATTACTGTGGTAGCCATGAAGTTTTTCACCAATGCTGTGAGCTTGCCCGGTAGTCTGAAAACTGTGTGCTGAAAGCTCTGTGCTTTGTTTTCTTTGTGTGTTCAAGACAGGAATGGACATTTGTTTATTGTGGGCCTTCTGCCATTCTTTTGTAGTTGCCTGGTACAGAATTCTCAGTGTTTGGGCCTGCTCAGAGATGCAAGGAGAAACCGGGGCCCTTTTTATTAGGGGCTCCAAACTCCTGGGAAGGGAAATTGTCTTGGTCAAATTACAGTACCATCATCTCCTTTTTTTCCTCTCAAGGGACATTTTACTGGAAAATCGATGCTATAGTAGTAAGAAAGCAGCTGGTAATATAGTACCAAAGCACATCACTCCTGCTGTTTATTATACCTCGAGATTTATTTCAGGCATTAATTTACTTGTTGATGGAATATTTAAAGCTATTAATGGAATATTTAATATGTTTCTCCATATTGGGAAGAACTCATCATTTCCTACATTCCATAGGATTTACAGGATTTCCTGGTCCAAAAAATACCCACGCTGTCCTTCTGTTGAGGTTTTATTAACTATGAAAAGAACTAACACTCTACCAGCACTTACTCTGTGCAGGACATTGATGTAAATACTGCAGTTACACAATTCTAGGAGGGAAATTGTTATTATTATTATTTTTTAAAGATTTTATTTATTTATTTGACATAGAGAGAGAGAGAGAGTACAAGCAGGAGGAGCCGCAGGCAGAGGGAGAGGGGGAAGCAGGCTCCTTGCTGAGCAGGGAGCCCAATGTGGGGCTTGATCCCAGGACCCTGGGATCACGACCTGAGCCAAAGGCAGTGGCTTAACCGACTGAGCCACCCAGGCGCCCCTAGGAGGGAAATTATGCTCTCATTATGGTGAGTAGGAAACTGAAGCACAGATTAAGTAACTAGCCCAAGGTCACACAGTTGGGGTTGAGGTAGAGTTGAATCTGGTCAATATGGCTCTAAAGCCTAATGCTCTAATTCTTATGCAGAGAAGGCAAAGGGGGTTAACATTTCTTGATACTCTTGACTTACCTGATACAATGAACAAGAATAAGAAGTACGAATCCAAAGTAGAAGAAGAGGAAGATGACGAGACTGATAAGAATGGGTTTCATATCAACAGATCCTGAGGGAAGAGAAACAACTTTGGTCAGGGTGTCCTCAGGAGAAAAGAGGACCATGTTTGGGACAGGACAGCTTCAAGGGCCCATCTCCATCATACCCATTCTGAAGTCCTAATATATTTCCATTCAAAGCAGCAAAGCTGCAGGAGGTCACTCAGACATTATCCACAAATGGCCACCTTTCACACTCATGAGTTCCCAGTGGAAGGTAGGAAGGGACTTCCCGTATACAACTTCACAATTGAATTCCCTCTCTTTCTGGAAGAGATTTAACAAAATGCTTTGATTCTCTCTTCTATCTCTATGGTAAATACCAGTTTTTTTATGATGTTTCTCTGGAGGGATGGCATTAGCTTTGATGCATATGATTGACTTCCTCACATAGAAATTTTTCTCCTTTGAATCTTAGAGGCAATACCGACCTTTAGTGGAAGGAACAATGGTCACTTTAAGGTTCTTTGTTCGATGTAGATTCCAGGTTTGGTTCTCCTTTTCTGGTAAAAAAGAACAGGCACAATAGATCAGATATTTGGTTCTTGGCCTCTCATCTGAACAGTTGTTCAAAAACTGTCCACAATTAGCTCTGGTTGTTGAATTTTCTTGTAGCAAGAACTAGAGGAAAATCTAACCCCCAAAGCTACAAACCATCTAATACCCCTTTGGGCTAAGCTTTCAATTTGGCCTTTGCTTGGGTGCATTTTGATAGTATTGAAGCAGTGAGACTGCAGCCCCCCTTCTGGAGTGAAGAAGGCTCGACTCATCCTCTGCTATCCATGTGGCTCAATATGCCACAGACATCTGAAGAAAACAGCTACTAAAATAAATGCTGTCTCATCTTTTGGTTTGCACTATTCCAGCCAGTGAAAATTTGTTTTTTGTTATATAGTCATAAAAGGACTTGTAGTTTACCAAAGGACAATGGACACCAGCAAAACTCTAGACTATATAATTAATAGATTAAAGAATACATAAGCAGAAATTTCACCCAAATGGCAAGAGAACGATGTATACTCAATAGTAAACACCCTCTGTGTTAATCACATGTGGCTCATCAGCTGCTGGGGGGAGGGGTCTGTGTTTTCAATCAACAGCCTATTCCATTCCCACAGTAGTTCCTACATAGTTACCCATAACCATTTTTACTATGCCTAAGAGCTCACACAATCCCTGTCATGGGGACAAATTGTCCACTTTGCTTTCTTACCATCTTGCCAGGTATAAAATTTTGGCAACTGAAATTGAGAACTCTGAATTTTTCTCGTACGTCCTTGTGGAAATGATGACTACTGATATATACAGTGGCTATATACAGTGGCTCATTACTGCTGGCTACCACACTGATCTTAGAAAGTGGACCTTGATATGCTGCATAAAATCACTATTATAATAATAGCAATTATTTGTTGAGTAAAAGGCCAACTGAGTGAATAAACCTCACATGGTCTGAGGGAGCAGAAGTCTTCGAAAAGATGTAGGGCACTAAGTGACATTCTGTAGTATCAACAATAGCTTTAGACTGATCATTTTCTTCCTTATATATTTTTTTCAAATATCTCTCAGACTGCCTTGCAAGTCACTGCTGATGACCCTCAGTGAGGCCACTGTGAGCTTTTGCCTTCCCTCCTATTCCATTTCATTAGGTTTTTCTAAGTAGCAAGCATTCCTATCTCTTACCCTGGATAAAGAAAGATCCTCCGCAGGTATAATCTTCAGGCCTTATCACAAATACCACGAAGAACTGCTCGCTTGGAAAATCCTTCTTCTGCATAAGATAGAACAACTTGTGATAGCAAGAAAGGATAGCAAAAGGGGAGAAAATCCATGGTGGTGTGAACTGAGAGGAAAGAGAAGAAAAATGAAGTTCACCCCTGCCCCCTAATTTCTTAGAAACAACCTTCAGATACCCATGATTTACTCCAGATTTTATCCACAATAAAATAATTGTTACATACAAAAAATTCAAGTAGATACACTATTCTAATTTCAATCTATCTTGTGTCCACTTAGGTGCTTAGAACTGTAATAGGTCCCATGTAAAAAATATGTTAACAGCCTATGTTTAATAATTAATACTTGTATATTATGTTTTTAAAATTAGCATACTTTAGAGTGTTTTAGGTTCACTATATTAAGCTTTAATTATTTAAAAATCTAATGACAGGGGTGCCTGGGTGGTTCAGTTGGTTAAGCGTCTGCTTTCAGCTCAGGTCATGATCTCAGGGTCTTGGGCTCAAGCCTGAGTCTGGCTCCCTGCTCAGCGGTGGTGGGGGGATTCTGCTTCTCCCTCTCCCTCTGCCCTTCCCTGCTCCCTCCCCGCCATGTGTGCTCTCTCTCTCTCTCTCAAATAAATAAATAAAATCTTTAAAAAATAAAAAATAAAAATAATCTAATGATAAATGACTTTCCTAAAAGTCACACAGCCACAATTAAATAATTTAGGTTAGGGATGCAAAGATTTAAGTGAGGCAATCTGAGTTATAGTCCTGGCTTTAACTTTCTCTAAGTATACTTCTCTGTATCCCAGTCTCCTTATTCATGAGTGAACAAGAACAGATATTTGGCATATCAAAATTGAGGCACTAGGAAATTAAAGCCTAATAGGGCTTTTTACATTTGATAGCTAAATTATAATTAACCTCTCTTCATTCCTTGTTATTTAGTAAACAGTATCACCTTACCCTCGACAACAGACCAAGTTGTAAGTAACTTAAGTAAACCCACCCTAAAGACAGAGACAGAATCTCTTTGAAAATCTACTGACATGATATATGTTCATTTTTGCTATAAAACTGTCATTGAAATAATAATTTAATTACAAATGACAAAAGGGCAAACCGCTATACACATGTGGTCTATATTCCTTTGAACCTATCCATTCTGTCCAGAATGGAAGTCCTTTTTTGGTTACTGTTATAGGTATACAGAGTATTAGAATATGTTCGATTCCTTTGAATAGATCAAACTTCACGCTAAATTGGCATCCCCCAATGAGGAGATTGGCATCTCACCTTACCTCTCTAAGCAATCTGTCAGATATATGTTCCACTGCATCATGGGTTCCTAAGACTTCCCAAGGGGAATGGCAGAGTAGCATTGTCCACCATGGCCTGGGCTTTGATTTCAGGAGTAGTGATCTTTGTTTTATTTTATTTTACTTATTTTTACTCTTATTATTTTAAATTTTATTTATTTGAGAGCAAGAGTGAGAGAGAGAGAGAGCACGACTGGGGGATGGGGAGGAATAGAGGAAGAGGGAGTAGGAGCAGACTCCCCACTGTGCAGGGAGTCCGATGCGGGACTTGATCCCAGGACTCCAAGATCATGACCTGAGCTGAAGGCAGATGCTTAACTGACTGAGCCACCCAGGTGCCCCACAATCTTGATTTTAAAACCAATCATAAAGGAAAGATATCCAAGGCACACAGTGAATGATGATACCTTCTGGATGCTGGTCCAACAGGTGACCTGACTGTGTATTGTGAATAAACTGTGTATTGTCATTGACAATACTGACCACAGAAGTGATGTCTCACCTGCAGTGTGATGGCAGCTTTCTTGGTCATGGACTGATAGACACCATTAAATTCCACATTGTGGTCGAGATCATGCACTGGGCACTGTGATGTGCATGAAGGATAAAAAAAAGAAAGCATCACTAAAGCCATACTATACACACCACACATTCCTCCTGGATCACAGAGCAAGGGGTTCCTTACTAAACCAAAAACCAGGAAACATTTTCTCCAAGAAAAGTCCCGCAACAGTGCTCCTAAAACTTCGTGCCTTGTCTTCTAAAGTTCTCTAAAGTTCACTTTATATCAAAGAGAACTGAAAACATTGTCTTAAAGTGTACAACACCTTTCCCATTTTTTATTAACACATTATGAGACAGAAATGGCCTATGGTTACAATAAAAATTGTAAAACCTAGAATAAACAGTAGGTTTCCATGTTTCTTGTGCAGTCCACGATTTGGTCTTCCATATTCTTTGTTATGATCCTCCCTCCCTTCCTTCTTTCCTTCACTTATTTTGGTGAGGAGTCCACTAGTCTCCATCTCCCCAAATCAGTGTCTCCAAACAGATGATCCACTTGTGTGCACAAGATACTGTTTTATTTAGCAGTTTTGCAGGCGATGCAGGGTAAGAGGATGACATGGTCCCCACCCTCCTCTTTCATTTATCCTGGGACAATATTATGCTCCATATTGAAAGGTTGACAAGTTGTTAAGACTCACCATGATATTCTGGACTGAGACAACAGAACATGGATAAGCCATTTCAGACCTGACTTTAATAATAACTGAGTCCACATCATCAGGAAATTTGTATAGAAAATACTGAGAATAAGAAAAAGAAAGAAATGATTTGTTAATATTAAAGAATGTTTACAGTTATGAACTCAAACTGGTTTTACAATCTCCATTAATTCAGTCAGCCATTCATCTCACATATATTGAGCAACTGCTGTGTGCAGGGCTCTGGGCTCTGAGCCAGATGTTAGGCATACAGCAGTGAACAAAACACGGTAGCCATTTTAGGCAATGTTGTCATTTCATTTGTTAGCATTTCTTTCTCAACTAAACTTTCGTGTACTTCATTCCAGTTTCTGCTTAAGAAGATCCCCCCAACCCTTTGAACTAGGGATATTCAAGATGTAACATGAGACAACATTTACTTCTATGTGATCATTTTGAAATAGGAAGCTCCACACTGAAAAGCAGATAAGCCTGTTCTTCAAGATTCTTAACAACCTTCCTTTAGGCAAGAATTACCACCAGACCTACCCTGCCCCTAGACTTCTTGTTAAAGAATCTGTTTCCTGGCTGGCATATAGCCAGACAATATTTCCATTCAAAGATCAAGCACTACTTCTAGCGCCTTGAAATATGTTCACAATTTGGAGCAGGCTGAGATATCTTCAAAATGATTTCTCAGGTATCATCAGAATCAGGAAGTATTTATAATAGAAAGAAGTTATACCAATTTACCTAGATTAGATTATGAATCCACTGTTTGTTAACCCTGATTTTTAAACATGTTGCCAATAAATGAAGAAAGGAGACTTCTGTCCAATAATTATAAATGTGGTAACTGCTTGAGAAGCTCGACATTAAGATTTTGAGGACACCAGCCAAAACAAGCCCAATATCCTAGGACTCTAATAAATCTATCAGTTGAAAGCAGAGGCAAAACATGTTAAAACTTAATTCTGTATTCCAGCGTCCTCTTTACTAACCTTATACTGAGAACCAGAGCAATAAAAATATAATGTTGTCCAATAATCCACAGCCTTCCGATGGGGGAAAAAATAACCTCAAGATTAAGGAGTGTCATTAACGCTGTAGTTTGGAAGTCTGTTCATGCCTTGTAACAGATGGCAACACTCCCAAGAACCCACTTCATTTGGACCTTTCATTTTGGAGCTTGATTCAAATACATATAATACAGGGCTCTTCCAAAGGTAAATGCTCTGGAATTCTCAAAAGGGATTTTTGGTTCTTAGGAAAGCCGAACTTAGTAACTCAAAAGCATTACTGTGATCACCGTTAGCAATAATGAGTATCATATATATTCCTAGGTACTATAGGAGTTGGTTTTGTCACTGGGTGGCAGTATATATGCACTGTGGAGGCTCTCACTGATGGGAAATTTAGCTCTTAAAAGATGTGTGGGAGTTGGTTCATACAGGTTTGGAGAGCTGACTGCACACATCTCTTCCCAACTCTGTATTCAAGGACGTCATGTTGGCAGCTTGAGATTAGCCAGAATACAAGTATTTTCACCACAGAAATGGGCAAATGCTACAAATCAGGAGTTTCTCGCTGGGAACTGGTTGTTAAATATTTACCAGCATATAAATGTCTGTAATTGAATTACACCAGTATCCATATATATGTTAAGCCCAGTTTTAGCATATCCAAAACAAAAAATTAAGCAGCCAGGTATGACCTAAGCTGTATAACAGCCTGCAGAAGATTTACAAAAAAATATCAGGACATTAAATAAATCTGTTATAAACTTGCTATTGCATAGACTTTCCTCTTTCAGAAGCCAAGAAAGAAAAAGGAAGGTAGCTAGAGGTGTCAACAGAAAAGTGGCTTAAATCAAAGTTTTCAAGAATTTATTCTGTTTATGATTATGGTTTAATGGAGAACACAGCACAAATATCTAATTCTTCTCATGTCAGCATTCCTGGTCTCTCTTTATGACAGGAATAACTAATTTATTCTACCCATAACACTGTAGAAATTAAAGTCTGTCTTGTTTTTATTGCATTTCTAGGTCAATTAACTATTTGTGTACCTGTATTGTGTTTTGCCTTCTACTCCCTGGCCCCCCAGCACCCATTTTGATTACAAGGTCCATGAGGGCAGAAGTTGCATCTCTTTCTTCTTCACCTTGTATCCCCAGCACCTAGGACAGTCTAATACTGTCTTTGGTGCATAACAGGCACACAATTTGCTAAAAGTTGAGCCAAGGAACATCTGCCAACAGATGTCATGCCTCCTATTTCATACCAACTAAGGTGAAAAGATTAAACGTTGTGTCTAAAATCCCAGTAATATGAACAACACGCCAAAAATGTAAATATATCACAAGTTGTAAAAAGTCAAGGGCAACACCGCATGCTGACTCTGCCTATTACCATGGCTTTTTGGAGGGTATTGTCAACAGGTAGAATCATGATAACCTTGAAACCCTTCACTTACCTGAGGTTGAGAGGGGCTGGCAGTGAAGTGAAAGGCAACATTTGTCCTGAGAAATGTATGTGGGAGAGGGAAAAGGGGGAAAAGTGAGAGAGAAGCTAAGTTAGCAAGCAAAAATGATTTCTGTAAAAGAAAACCATCTGAAAGTTGATGTAAGGAAAGCCTTATCCTTTGTGAAATGAGTTCTAGTCCCATCAAACTGACAAAGTAAACAGCATGAAGATTTGGTTTCAGCTCTCAAGAATGACAAAATTGGGAAGAGGATCGATTTTATGTCTTTATATAACCATGATGTCATACCTATAAAAGTAATTACTTGTTTGCTTTTGCAGACACTTTTGCCCTTTGGATTCTCTTAAGGTTTTACAACCAAGCACAGGGTTTGGGTGTCAGAAGCGGGCTGAAAAAGAGAGGAAAAGGCTTGAGGTCCTTTTTAGATAATGTAGGTCACACTACAAAATAATTTGGATGCATCCATGCCAAAAGATCATTATTTTAAACGTGGTGAATACATCATCACCATGGGAGGGGCTCTGGGGCTAGAAGCATACCCTTCCTGCCTCCAAGCACTTCTCCATTTGCCTGCCACACCAGCTAAAATTCCTGTCCAAGACCGTGTCCTCTTCAGTTTACGCACTGCCTTCTAAGGCCGTCCTCTAAAATGCAAATACCACCAAAAGAATACAATGAAGCTGTTTTCTATCCAGTTGGTAATTTACTGTGAACTATTTTTTTAAAATATTTTATTTATTTATTTGACAGAGACAGAGAGAGAGCACAAGTAGGCAGAGAGGCAGGCAGAGGGAGAGGGAGAAGCAGGCTCCCGGCGGAGGGCCGGGAGCCCGATGCGGGGCTCGGTCCCAGGACCCTGGGATCGCGACCTGAGCCAAAGGCAGCCGCCTAACTGACTGAGCCACCTGGGTTCACCTTATTGTGAACTATTTTATTAGATATTTTTGTTCTTCTGTGAAAGACAGCCTGAATCCTGCCCTGAGGAAAGGCAAGTGTGAGGAGCTTGTGGGAAGCACACCCTTGTAGTACAGAATGCTGGCTGGCATGAACACACGTGAACCGGGTTAAGAAGCTGGAAAACACAAAGACAAATTGGTCTTCTCTACAGTTTTGTAAGGGCTGTTTTTGGCCTTTTGCGCTTTCTGGCTCCTGCCTCATCTTTAGCCGTGAAGATCACTCACACAAGCCCACTGCATTCTCAGTGCTGGCACCTGGGGACAAGTCTGTCCCCACCCCGCCAGTCTGGCCTGCATTTCAGGGAACCTGAACCTGAACTTGTCCTGGGGCCCCTTCCCAACTTCATCCCTTGGTGCTCCCTAAAGAGTCTTCCTCTCCACTAATTTTCCTTTGATAAAAGTTAGAACAGTTTAAAAAACTTTACTGAAGATTCCTTTATAAAGGACACGTCAAAACATTTAACAAGAAGTTTATAATTGGAGGCGTTGTTTAGAAGTCATAAAACTTGAGTGCTATTTCTAAATTAAATGACCAACAATTTTAGGCTGTTGGCAGACTGGGCACAGAATTTAGCAATGGGTGCAATTTTTTATGTAGCTACTCCCAACAGAAATGATCAGTGTCAAGGACTGCTTCTGTTGAAGCGCATTTCAAGACTTGTGGCCCAAAGTCAGCTAAAGAAGCCAAAGTCAGTGTCAAACCCAGTCGTGTGTTAACTCCTGAGATTCCAAGACCAGAGTCGGGACCCCTGTGCTGCGTGTGGCTGGGGGGCTCCCTCTCAGCAGTGTGGTGTCATCTGCTGTTACCAGGGCAACACGGGGCCTGAGTTTGGTTCAGTTGCCAGGTCAGGGGAAAGAAAAAGACACGGATTTTCTTGGCTAGCAACAGACAGCAGGAGATTTCAGATGCAACGTTTTCTTTGGCCAGAAATTTCTCTTGTATACTCCCTTATCATTTGAATTCCAGTTGTAACACTGAATGTATGGGCATCAATATGATTTTTTCCCCTTGTTCTTCATGTTTTCCTTACTGGTATAATACATACAAACCTCAAAACCATTATTTTCTTTAAGACTATAGCATTTAAGTCCTCTCTACAGAATCAACAGTGTATGCAAAATAAACATTGTGTCTGTTGTAGATGAAACATGTCGCTTCCTTCCCCAGGGGGCCCTGCCACAGGTTGGGGAAGGTTTATTTATGAGTCCTTAACCAGTAGAACAAAGCTAATTGAGACTCCTGCACAACTTTAGAAGAAAAAAAGCATAAAATCTTCAACCAACTGTTTAAACAAATTGAGCACAGGAAACAAATGTTTATTCGATAAATAAGAAAAACTCAAAGCTGACTTTGTTCCCTTGTTTTGCTTAGTTTGGAGGGAGAGGGGAAGAGAAAAGGACCAGATGGCGTCCAGAGAGCTCAGTGTGCAGATAAAGGAGACAGGAGAAGAACAGTGAGAGGAGACATCCATCCAGGAGAGTAATAAAATGGAAGAACAAGGAAAGGGGGATGGAAAGAGAGGGTGGGTGGGAAGAGAGGCAGGGATAAAAGCTAAGTCGTTTTGGGGGTGAGTACCAGAGAAGACTGTGAGATTCCCGGCATCTTCTTCATCCTGTGATAGCCAGCCCCTGGCACAGAGCCCAGTGTGTGTGCAAAACCCCCACTTTGTTGGCTGAAGGAAACGATGCCCTATTATTCACTTGGACTATCGACTTCAGAATATCATTCCCTGTTATCTCCTTACGGCCATCTGTTACGAACTCCCTTCGCTCACCACAACCCTTCCAGCAACCTCTGATCACGTGTGACCTTCCACTTCATCGCTCCGGTCTGAGTATAAACTCTGCATGCATCCTTTCTTTCCTTCTCTGGGACTCTGCTTCTATAAAATTCAACGTCCTATGAATTTTATACACCCTTGGCTTATAAATATATACTAATAGCAACCACTTTCAAAATAAATAAAAAAACCCCCACCCAACAAAATGCCTCCCTTTTCTGTATCTTGCTCCCTTGATGTCATTCTCTATCCTCCCTCTCCTTCACCAACCAGCTTCTCAAAATCGTATTCTGCTTTCATCCCTCATTCATCTTTTCCTCTCCCCACGGCTGTCAGGATTCTTTCCCCACCATCACCCTGAAGTTGCCTTTGCTGCAGGTAATAGTCACCTCCTATTTGCTAAATCCAGTGACTTCAGCCTTAACTTTACCTCTCTGTGGCATTGGATCTGATGACCAGTCCCTCTGGAAACTCTTTCCTCCCTTGCGCTCTGTGACACCTGCTTTCCTGAGTTTTCTTCTGCACCCTCCCGCACCTCTGCTATGTCTGCTCAGCTTCTTTTGTTTTGTTTTAAAGATTTTATTTATTTGACAGAGAGAGACACAGCAAGAGAGGGAACACAAGCAGGGGGAGTGGGAGAGAGAGAAGCAGGCTTCCCGCCGAGCAGGGAGCCTGATGAGGGGCTCGATCCCAGAATCCTGGGACCATGACCTGAGCCGAAGGCAGACGCTTAACGACTGAGCCACTCAGGCGCCCCTGCTCAGCTTCTTTTGATAACTCCTGTTTCTCAGACCATCCCTTACATAAGAATGTTACCCGCTATTCTTGATCTCATTTTCCTTAGCCACGTACCTTATATATATATATATTCAGTTAAAAATCACATATATGTTCAATGGCCGCAAAACTCACAAAAAAATATCAATGAATCTTAAGTCTCCCTGTCTAGCCTGGGGCTATCCCTTTAGCTCCCGTCAGGGAAGAGTGATCGTCTGCTGGACTTCTGTGCTTGGCTGCCCCTCAAACACTTCAAACTCCACAGGATCAAAACGGAATGTGCTGTCATTTTCCTGATCCCGACCCACTATGGCTCTTTGCTAGTAAGCCTCACCAGACTTCTGACATCATTGTTGGAGTCATCGGGGACTCCCTTTTTATCAGCTTCCACATTTAATTGATCACCACGTCTTCCTGACTCTATTAATGTATAAGTAACCCGGATGTACCTGACTCACCTGAAGTACGATCTTTGCCCAATATAGCATTCAATAAGAAAAAAATTGGAAAAGTAATGGAAATCATTATTGTAGTCTACCCCCAAATACCGAAGGGTGATCACACAGTATGAGACATGGTAAAAGGGTCTAAAAGCCTCCTCACTTACCCATTTCCTCAAAAAAATCTACTTTTCACAGCATCGTAGCTGTGTGATTTCACTCAAAAGCCTCTCAAAACAGACTCAAATCCCTACTTAGAAGGCTGGAGGAGGGTTGAAGCCTGCAAGTACTCACGTAGGACTGTATTTTTTATTCTGCCGCATGTATTTTTTTTTAATTTGTGGATTATCCCTATGTATATTACTTGACTCTTTTTCTCCCTTACAACTTTGTTGCTGCTATAGTATGTTCAGTTCCTAATCATTGTTTATTTTTCTCTATTCAAGTAACTTTTTATTTTCTTATTTGTCTCTACCCTCTCCTCTCTCCAATTCATCTTCCGTGTGACTACTAGATTCATCTTTAAAAATAAGATTTGTTTATTTTATTGTGTTGCTTAAAAGCTTTAGTAGCTCCCATAACCTGAAAGGTGGAGTTTAGGCACCTGGGTGGCTCAGTCAAACATCTGACTCTTAATTTTGGCTCAGGTCATGATCCTGGGGTCATGAGATTGAGCACTGTGTGTGGCTCCATGCTCAGCAGGGAGTCTGCTTGGGGTTTTTTTTTCTCCCTCTCCCTGTGCTCTTCCCCCTGCTTGCGTGCATGCTCTCTCTCTAAAATAAATAAATAAAATCTTAAAAAAAACCCAACAACTCTCTAGCGCAGCATACAGGATCTCAAAGATCAAGGATTAGGCACTACTACATGTTTCTCTGTGCTGTCTCCTGTTATTCCACCTCTGGCACTGTGTGGACCAGCCTCCCTGAAGCACTTCTACTCAGGCTGCTATCTGTAATCCAGAACTTTCTTTTGAGCACCAGGCTGCTGTATATCCAACATTCTACCCAACATCTGCACTTCAAGTTCAACATGTCCCAAAGTGAACTCACCATCTCTTCCTTCCTTCCTCAACCTTCTCATTTCCTCAGTGGCACCACCATTTACAAGGGAAGAGGCCATCTTTGACTCTCCCATTTCCCTCACTCTTCATGTCCAATCAAGTTTTGCCAATTTCATCTCTAAATTCTTCAGTTCATCTCATTATTACCTTGACCACTGCAGCAAGCCTTCTAATTTCTCTGCCTCCAGTCCTGTCCCCTTCAAGTCCTCCACACAACTATTACCACCTAGACAACTACCTTTCTTCACAACCCGTCCAAGCTCCTCCCACCCCATGATCCGGTGCCTGCCTGCCCCTACATCCTCGGGCTCTTCCCTGTCTGCAACTTCACGCTCTGCCTCACAGAATGCTAGGTCACTGGAATTTGGGAAAATGAGTGGTGGCAGAGGTGCATGTGTGTGTGTGTGGAGGTGGGTGAGGGATAGTAAGATGGCAGGGAGGAACGCTTTAAGGCAGAATTTTGTTTTTAAGACTTGATTGAAATAAATAAATGTTTCATGGAATTGAGAAACATATTTAGGGCAACATAAAGATTCGGAGGACAGTTTTAAACACAAAGTGGAAATAGCATATTATTGTGGGAAGAGCTCAGAACTGGGAGTTAGAAGTAGAATCTAGTCCTGATTTTACTCTTTCCTAGATGTGGGTTTAGATAAGTCACTTAACCTCTCTGGGCATCTCCTTTGCTCATCTGTAAAAATGAGGTGAGTGGATTCAACTTCCAAAGTTCCTTTCATTCTTAAAATTCATGATTCTAGGGGAAAAAAAAATCCTGAAACATGTTTCACATAGCTTCTAGTCTGCCACTCAAAAATATACAACAGAAACTGCCATGTTAGGACTTTCGAGTTGATTTTTCAGTGTTTCTCTCAATACCTAGACTTCAGATCTCACCACAATCCCCAGCTCTTGCCCATTACCATCCTCTTCTGGATTTCTGGGTCACCAGCAAGGTTGGTGTGGGACAATCCAGAGCCAAGGAGGAAGAGATGCATATATATTTCAGTTACCATCTCTTCTCAGACTTACCTTATTCTCATCAAAGCCCTAGTAACTGTGCATTTTGAAATGCTCTGAATGTCTGGTTGCGGAGGTCAAGTCACATTATAAGAGGTGGAAACAGAAAACAATGTGAGCGAATAGATTTGCAGTTCTACTAGCATGCATATCATTCATTAACACTTGCACCGAGTTGTGACCTTATGATTTCAGTTTCACAGAATTCAGTTCTCCAAAGGGTCTAATTAGCCTCCCAGGAAAACCAGCTCTAGAATTCAAGTACACTGCCACCAGGTGACAGTGACAGGTCAAAGACACAGAGACCAATCAGTAAATGTGAGGCTTCTCCACAGTTAAAACTGCACTCTGTTCAAGTAATGTGCTGCCACCTCCTTCAAATGTATCACCATGAATTCTCATATTGTTTAATATCATAAATAGATTTAAGCATTAAAATAATTAAATGTAAGCACCATATTTAGAAATTGCTTAGAGGTAGTGGTTCTCAACTCTGGCTACACATTAGAATCACCTGGGAAACTTAAAAAATATATATATTCTAAGGCTCAAACCTCCCTCCTAGAAACTCTCACTTAATTGATCAGGGTAGAAAACTTTTTCTGCCTTTTTTTTCCCCCAGAGGTGGGAGTGAGGGGTTTTTTGCTCTTGAAATTATCATGTCACTTTTTTCTACACCAAAATTAGTGAAGGGACTTGGAAAAAATGCTGTTGACTACTTCTCCATCTTTCTAGCTATTCATTCATCCATCTGTCCATCCATCTGTATGGGTATACATTGCCAAGAGCTGCAGAGAAGACCAAGATAAATATTTGATTCCTACTAGCAACTCCACTGGCTACAGACTTCTTTATAAACTGCTTTAGAAAATTTAAGGTGAGCTTTATAATAGAACAAGACATTCTGATCAGAAAAATAAGCTGCAAAAAGTAATATATATTTTTAAATATAATAAAGATTTAAATATATTTGAATATTTAAATTTAATAAAATTTAAATATAATAAAAATATTCTGATTTTTTAAAAATTAAGCTTTCTATTGAAGTGTAACAAACATATAGAAAAAAACACAAGTCATAAGTATATATCTGAATGAATTCACCAGGTAAACAACCATATACTTCCTCTTTCCTCTCCAAAGTTATCACTATGCGGACTCGTAACATTACAGAATAGTTTTGCCTATTTTTAAACTTTGTATAAATGGAATCAAACAGTTATGTATTTCTTTTGTCTGGCTTCCTTTGCTTAACATTGTGTTTGTGAGATTTATCCATGTTGCCAGGTACAGCAATAGTTTGTACCTTTTTATTGTTGTGTAGTATTCCATTGGATGAATAGGACAATTATATATTTAGGACTTGGATTTATAATAAGTAGGAGTGAAATCACATTGTCAGTCTTTTCAAATTATAGAAACTGGTAGGTGTAGTGAAATCTCATTATAGTTTTAATTTGTGTTTCTGATAGCCAGTAAGATTGTGTTTGGGGGATCATTTTGGATACCTTCTTTGGTAAAGTGTCTGTTCAAATCTCTTGCCTATTTTTTTTCCAATGGGCTTGCCTTATTTATGTTTTTAAAAAACAGGTATAAAAATACTTCTAGTCATTTCAAATAATTGATTTGTGGTTTGGTTGATTTTGTCCATTGTTGATTTGTTCTCTATTTCATTGTTTTATGCTATTTCATTACTTCCTTTCACTTTCTTTGAGTTTTACTTCCTAACTTCTTTTTTTTTTTTTTAAAGATTTTATTTATTTATTTGACAGAGAAAGAGAGAGAGCACGAGAGCAGGAACACAAGCAGGGGGAGTGGAAGAGGGGGAAGCAGGCTTCCTGCCGAGCAGGGAGCCCAATATGGGACTCGATCCCAGGACCCTCGGATCATGACCTGAGCCGAAGGCAGACGCTTAATGACTGAGCCACCCAGGCACCTCCTAACTTCTTGAAATGGACACTTAACACACTGATTTTCAGCCAGTCTTCTTTTCTAACATATATATCTGAAACTATGCATTTTCCTCTAAGCAGTGCTTAGTTGCATCCCAGAAGTTTGGATATGTCATATTTTCATTATCATTCATTCAGAATACTTTCTAATTTTCATGGTAATTATTATTTTTTTGACTCATAAGTTATTTAGAAGTAGACTACTTAATTTCTAAACATTTGGGGGTTTTATAGACACCATTTTATAGTTGATTTCTGTCTCAATTCCATATACAGGATTTCAGTTCTTTTAAATTTATCAAGATATGCATTAGAACTTGGCAACCTTGGTAAATGTTGCATGTGCATTTGAAAAGGTTAAGCATTCTATCATTTTGAGATACAGTTTCCTAAGTACATTAGTTAGTTCAAGCTTGTTGATCATGTTCATCTGCTTTTTATATCTCAAAGGGCCAAATAGTAAACATTTTAGGCTTATAGGCCATAATGTCCCCATACCAACTACTCTATACTCAACTATAATAAAAAAATATATATATTTTTATTCCATTGGGTAAATATAAACATTGACTCCCCTTCTGAGACTCTTCACTCTCTGTTCCAAAGCTCTAGTGAGAGGTCTAGGTCAAAATTATTTTCTCAGTTTTTACTCCTGAGACTGCCTCATTTTTTCCTCAGAAAGCTTATTTGTTCCAGTGAAGCTGCGTCTGGACCTATGGGCACACAGACTTGGGTACACAAACTTGTGCACATGTGGGGGCTAGTCTCTACCCTCAGCAGTACCTAGACCCCTTGGTGCCGAGATTCTTGCCTATAAGAAACCAGAGCCACAGAAGGGTGGGTGATAATGGGGACAGCAGCCAAGAGCTTACCTGTTTTTTCTTATTGATTTGTAGGAGTTCTTTATATAGTCTGCTATGAACCCTTTATAGTTATATGTGCTGTCTTTTAGTCTATGGCTTGTCCTTTTGTTCTCTTACTGATACATTTTGATGAGTACAAATTCTAATTTTAATGAACCAATTTAATGATAGTTTCTTTTAAATTTTATTTAAAACACTGAGAGAGGACGAAGTGGTCTGAAGCCTTGAGAAGCCTTGATCTTAGAAGAGAATGGGGCAGAAAGTTCCTTGAACTGTCTGGCCTTATTAAGGAATGACCTTTCTGTTTAAATTTTCACACAGGTTTATGCAATATTTTACAAGAGTAACCTCTGGAAAAGAACAGATCTCTTGGAGACCATTCCCCCAACTGAATTTATTATATGTATGTCTAATACGAACAATTTGAGATGAGTTCAAAAACAACTGATTTTGTTTCAAAGGATGGTAGTGCAAGGAGAAGGAGGAAATAGTCATTAGTTGTTGCATAAGGGACAAAGCCATAAGACACTATTTTCTACCTGTATACATTCTTAACTTGGAAGGAGAAACCTGGACTAGCAGTAAGGACAAGAAAATAGGTTAAGGTCTTCCTCAGAAGAAAAATAAAACTTCCTTCAGGAGAGTGGTAGTGACGCATAATACAAAAGTACCCAGTCACCGGGGCCTCTTGCTTGGACTACAGGCAGGCAGGGTCCTCACACAGACCCCTGAAAATAGACATGCCTCTGAGGCTGGGCACTGTTCCCCTCTGCAGCAGTCCCTACTGCTTCCCTATTGCACAGATTACAGTCCTGTTGCCCACCTGTGAGCAGGACTGGTCAGAAGTTGCTAAGACAATATGCCAAGTGGCTAATTTCCTTCTTGAGTGCTGACTTGGCAGAAGGGAGACTGGACTGAGCATGTGCAGACAAATGAATTGAGAAAGGCCACAAGAGGTCCTGCTTACTGTAGCTGGAAGTGCGTGATCTTGGTAACCAGCAGTTTGTACTGGGCGCCCAGTGGAGCCATGGAGGTGACATCTACAATTACCAGTTGCTCCAGAGGTCCTGTTTCATTGGTTGCTTCTGAGGGACACAAGGTGCGGCTTACTTCCTGGTACTTGTAACTCCTCTGGTATCTGTAGCAGCCGATGGAAGGAAAAACAAGCAAGAATGAAAGAGAGACTTGGTGAACAAGCAAGGGAAAAAAAGCCAATCTTATTTCATTTCTCTCCAAATTTGTTTTCAAGTCCTTATGTTTTAAATTTCAGACTGGACCTATGATAGTGATTGAGTCTTGGGCATAGGCTTGTGTGATGTAATAACAGGGACTTGAGGACTCTTCAGTGCTGGCCAGTTCACTTTGATTGTGTCTATATTATGTCACACCACCTTCCTAATTCAATGAGAAAAAAAATACCAAATGTTGAAGGGGAAAATTGTGCTGATGAAACAATCAGTTGATTTCATATTTCCACTCTTTGAGCTTTTGCTAAATGGAACATAAAAAAAAAGCCCCAGAGCCCAAGTCAAGGCTATGAGAGTTACTATTTCAATCCTCAAATTACTCAGCCACTAAAAATGAGTTAATGCCATACTATGTACCTATGTCTGAATGCCTTCTGGTTTTTTTCTTAGTAGTGCAATAGTACCTTATACAGTTTCTCCTGCAAAAGTATAAACTACATGAGGGCAGGGATTTTGTTTTCCTCTCCCCCCACTGCTGTATCCCTAGTTTCTAGCACTTAGTAGCACTTAAATGCTATAGAATGAAGGATGCACACTCTGTGGGCATTTTGGAGAATGGAGGTATTACTCATTTACACTGACTCTTGAACCTAGCCCTGTCCTCAGTGGATGATCTACTAACCAAGAGCTACAGAATATTCTGGATAGAATTAAAAATGCTTAAAGTTCTTCCAGGTGCTACATATCTAGGTAGAGTGCTTATCTGAATTCAAAGAGTCAGGGTGCTTGGGTGGCTTAGTTGGTTGAGCATCTGACTCTTGATCTCAGCTCAGGTCTTGATTTCAGGGTTGTGAGTTCAAGCCCCACATTTGGCTCCATGCCCAGCATACTTAAAAGACAAAAAAAGAGGATGGAAACTGAACAGACTTGGACAGGTTGGGCTATGTGCTATGACCATTATTTGCACTAGGGATGCATATGATATCAACATTCCAAATGTCTGATTTCTCCTTTTACTAGGGAAAACACCAATTAAGGTCTAGGTCATTGAAAGAAAACAAATGTAGCGAAGTTGTCCAGGAGAAGATCCACTTACAGTCCTTGGAAGAGCAGAGGAACCTGCCAGGACAGCACCCCTTTCTGCTGGCGAACCATGACGAGGACTGGGTAGTTCTCTGAGGAACTATTCACATACACCCGAACAGCATTCACCTGTGAGCCAGGGCAGAGAGAGAAGGTAAGGCAAATCACACATGCACATACATGCACACACACACACACCCACAAACACACATCATAGCTGCCACCTGACGTGATCTTCAGTGAAACCAGATTCTGGAGGCTTCAAATGGCAGGCTGAGGAGTTCGAATTGGGCAGTCAATACAAGGTTTTGAGAATAAGCCCAGAACAGAAAAAGAAAGATATTGATATCTCTTCTCATTTGAATATAAATGGTAGATACAAACGTCTTCAAAACAAAACAAAACAAAACACAAAACCTACAAGCTCCTCAATTGCTGACAAATTTTCATTTTGGTTTGGAAAATTATTCTGTGCTTCAAACCAAAATGTTATTGCCATGTTTTATTAAAGCCTAGCAGATGGCCTGATGCTCCCCTAGCAACAGATACCACAGGGGCTGAGTATTCTTCTCTTTGTCCTACTCCAAGGCATAAATCAGTCCCTGACACAAAATGCTTTTCTATATCAGCAGCTCCATGGCTCCTTCTGAATACACAGATCAACCCCAAGGATTTAACACTTTCAAGGCTGTTTTAAAGACAGAAAATTGAACTGTGGCCCTGGATCTAGATGGTTCTGGTGTTTTCCTTCATTTTGTATAATACCATAGACTATATGGAAAGAACAAAATAGAAAAAAAGACATGTTAAGAAAGAAAAAGTAAAACCTGATCTTTCATATGAGATTTCCCCTCCTGCTGTACTAAAACCTTAGTATTCTCTTGAAAGCTTCTTTATTAGGGGCAAGAAATGAAACAAGAAAATCTTGCAGTTAAACCCTGAAAGATCTATACATGTTCAAAATGGAAACAGAGGAAACAGAACCACATGGATATCATATAATTACTATTTGGTTCTCTTATATCATTCTTCATTAAACCACTTTGCTTTTTTAATGTTGAAACAATCCAAGAGTAATTTATTAATTTGATAAGAAGCACTTGTTCACGAAGGGAACATTTTCTTGTGCCTAAACTCTACTATGCTGCAGCTGATAACTGCCAACACCCTACCTCTAGTGCAGACCTTTTCCCTAAGTTCTGGATGTTCCACTAGTACCTCAAATTCTACCTGTCAGAAATGGAATCTATCACTCTCTTCACTCTTAACTTTAATTTCTTCTGAATTTCCTTGCTTATTGAATGGCCTCACCAGGAAGCTATTCCATCTAATGAGAACCGTTAGATGAGAGTCATCCTTGATTCCTACTCCTTTAGCCTTCTCAGTCGATAGGTCATTGAGTTCTACTGCTTCTATGTCCTTCAAACTGTCCATATCCAGACCTTACCCTCTACCCACAATGATGTCCTCACCATTCTCATAGTTCATCTCCTCATTGACAGGACCTGATCCAGTCTTCTGATCCCCAGGGCTATGCCCCCTCAGATGTCAATTTCATCCGATAGGGCAAGGCCTTTAGCGGCTCTGGGAATTTTCAGATTTACTCTAATACCTGGACTTGCAATTGGCATCTTAAGTGGGGGGGGGGGTGGGCAGTCTTGTGGGACTGAGCCCTTAACCTATGAGATCTGATGCTAAAACCAGGTAGAACTGAACTGACTGCAGGACACCCACCTGGTGTCACAGAATTACTTGATGTGTAGAAAACCCACACATCTGGTATCAGAAGTGTCGAGTGTGAGCAGAAGAAAATGGAAGTGAGTTTTTCCTGTAGACAGCCACCAAGCATTTTTTTCATGTAGTCCAATTTATTATTTTTTTTTCTTGGACACTTCTTCCATTGCTCTTTAAAATAGAGATATAGGGACGCCTTGGTGGCTCAGTCGGTTAAGCATCTGCCTTCGGCTCAGGTCGTGATCCCAGGGTCCTGGGATCGAGTCCCGCATCAGGCTCCTCCTTGCCCAGTGAGGAACCTGCGTCTCCCTCTGCCTGCCATTCCCTCTGCTTGTGCGTGTGCTCTCTCTCTCTCTGACAAATAAATAAAATCTTAAAAAAAATAGAGATATCATTCACACACTGTACAACTCACTCTTAAAGGGTACAATTCAGTAGTTTTTAATATAATCACAGAGATGTACAACTATCACCACTATCTAATTCCAGAATATTTTCATCACTCCAGAAAGAAGCCCTGTACCCATTAGCAGTCATTCCTCATTCCTTCCTTCCCTTAATCCCTGGTAACCAGTAATCTTAATTTTGTCTCTGAATTTACCCATTCTGGACATTTCATACAAATGGAATAGCATATGCACTTTTGTATTTGGCTTATTTCACTTAGCATAATGTTTTCAAGATTCTTCCACGTTGTAGTTTTCTTTTTATTGCTAAATAATATTCCATTGTAGGCACTCACCACATTTGTTTATGTATTATTCAGTTTATGGACATTTTGGTTGTTGCCACTCTTTGGCTGTTACAAACAATGCTGCTTCGAACATTTATATACAAGTTTTGGTGTGAGTATGTTTTAAATTCTTTCGAGTGTATACCTAGGAGTAGAATTATTGCGGGACACGGTAACTCTGTGTTTAACTTTCTGAGGAACTGCCAAAACGTTTTCTAAAGAGATTCATCTTTTTACATTCTAGCAATTTACATTACTGGTAATATATAGGGGTTTCAATTTCCCCACATCCTTGTCAACACTTGATGCTGTCTTCTTGATTATTACAGTTCTAGTGGGTGTGAAGTGGTATCTTGTGAATCATACAGTATTTTAACCGTTTACCTGCCTGGCTCTTTTAGGGAGCTGTAAACTTCATCTTTGGTGTCCCTAGTGTTGACAAAACGCATTAGTTCAGAAGCAAGCTCACTTTTGCTGTTCATAATACAAACACTCACCAGCATTATGCAGCACGTGGTGTGAGAGCACCCTTGTAGTCTGGCTTAAATCTACAGCAATCAGAACTGAGGTAAAACCTAAGGAAAGCTGTGAACTAAGGCAAGCTTCCTCTTTAGCCTGTCTACTCTCTTTTCTTTACCTAGGAATGCAGCTTCCTTCTCCCTTCTTAAGTACTTAGTGCCAGAAGGGATTTCCCTCCATTTTGTTTCCCCACACTTTAAGAGAGTGATTCTCAAATGTTAGTGTGCTTTTTGGCATTCAAATCCTCAAGCCCACCCCTAGCATTTCTGATTCAGCAGATCAAGAAGAGAACCTAAAAATATGCATGCTTACCAAGCATGCTGCGGGGTTCTGATGCACATGGATTGGAGCCTGTACTTTGGGAAATACTGTTCCAACCGAACCAGCTAGTGGATGACCCCATTTGTCAGCAACTTGCCAACTGCCCATTATTATGAAGTGCACAACCATGACACCACCAAATGTCACGAGTATGTCTGGAAGCTGGTGTCTAATGGGGCTGAAACTGGGCTAGTAGGAAGGAGATCTGTAGGGAGCAGAACAGATATATCACCACCATATTACCCCACTCAATGCTCATTGCCACACCTAATTTTATTCCTTGTCTAGCTCTTATAATCCATTTACTTTTGTATTATTTAATAACAGTCTTACTAATTACAATAAAAACAAACTCAGAGATACTGACATAATAAATTGTAGAAAAATATATTAAAGTAGGAGATAGAAACACTGGGTGGTTTTTTTTGATACAAATAGATAATGCATTGCCCCCAGGAAAGGATAAAGAGTCCTGTTCAAATTTTGCTTTGCTTTTTCAGAGGCTAATGTGCAACTGAGAAAATTGGATTACATTTGCCACAGTGAAGTAAGCCCTGTAAAGGCAAAACTCAGTGAAGGACAGAGTATTGACCATGCATGATAGATCATGACACCTTGTAACAGACCATTCTTAAGAGCCAAGATTTTCCCTCCTGTGGCTTCTTCCTGTTGTCCTGAACACTTCATAGTCCCCCCGCCCTTGCCCGTGGGGGGATATGTTCCAAGACTGCCAGTGGTTGCCTGAAACTGCAGATGATACCAAACCCTATATATACCATATTTTTCCCACACATACATACCTATGATGAAGTTTAATTTATTCATTAGGCATAGTAAGGTATTAATAATAATACCTAATAATAAAATAGAATAAATGTTCTTGAATGTGGTCTCTCTCTCTCTCTCAAAATATCATACTGTACTCACCCTTCTTCTTGTGATGATGTGAGAGGCTAAAATGCTTATGTGATGAGATGAAGCAAGGTGACAGACGTAGGCATTGTGACGGAGTATTAGCCTACTTTTGACCTTCCGACCATATGTCAGAAGGAGGATCATCTGCTTCTGGGCTGTGGTTGTCCATGGGTAACTGAAATTGTGGAAAGTGAAACCAAGGATAAGGGATATATGACTGCTACACATCTATCTTATTTTCTTTCTATGTTTATTATAAGCAAGGAGTTGTGTTATAGATAAGAGAGAATTATTTAAGTACTCCCATTTCTGATATTATATAGATCACAATTATGAAAGGTCTTAAAGCTTCGAGACTCCCTTTTTAATCTGTTGGAATGTGTCAGTAGGGAAAAGTTCAAAATTATAACTAATATAATTCTGTTGCATAAAGAGGATGAAAATGAGTTTAATTTAAAATCTGGTTTGGTTTTGCTAAATTAATGAGACTGTAGGCTCTATTAGTTGGAACATCAGACTATAAATCAGAGATTATTGGCTTCCATTATTAAGCACAGCACTGTTTTCCCATGTGATCTTGAAAAACTGAGTCTCCCTATAAAATAGCTAAAATAGTATTTGCTTTTCCTAATATGCACAGTTTTAGTAACTGTGTTATGTTCACTAAGTGTATATCTTGGAAGTGTTCAGGTTATTTGGTCCTTCCTTCCTTCTCTCCCTCTTTCCACCCTTTCCTGCTACCCTTCCATGATCCTTCCATCATGCATCAAACATTCACTGAGTTAAGAGCTATGGGAGGTGCTGCGGGTACACTAAAGGCAACCCTGTCCTTGAGGAACTCACGATCTAGTCAGAGACAAATGATGTTATTACCAACAGCAAAATGTGATGATATTGTGGTAGCAAC